TAACCGCAGTAGAACGTCAGTAGAACGTCAGTACAGGTGATGTCAGTAGAACGTCAGTAGAACGTCAGTACAGGTGACCGCAGTAGAACGTCAGTAGAACGTCAGTAGAACGTCAGCAGTACATCAGTAGAACGTCAGTGGAGCCTTGTCGTCTGTAGGTTTTGTTTTGCTTCATCCAGAAAGGGTTAACTTCTGTTTGAAACATCAGTAAAAAGCTGACGAGCTGTGATTGGTCAGAAACAGGAGCAGTTCAGGTCCCTGTGCTCAGTCCGGTTTTCATGTTTACTGAAGATTAATGACATTGTGACAAACAGGAAGTCCACACTGACAAACAGGAAGTCATCATCTTCCTTTCTTCATCTTGGACACTTTCTCCTTCCTCTTCTTCACGTGTTTCGGGACTTTGTTTTTTCTTTTTTCTCTCTGAGCTTCTTTCACGATCTTCTTCTTCTCCTGCACGAGCCAATAATAATAATAATAATAATAATAATAATAATAATCATCATCATCAATTACCAATAATAGTAATAATAATAATAATAATAACAATAATAATAAAGAGTGACACTGTAGACTCTTCATCATACCTTTTTGTCCATGGAGACATCCTCACTCTGCTCCTGCTGATTGTCCTCCTCCTCCTCCTCGTCCTCCTCCTCCTCCTCTGATGAAGACTGGTCGTCCTCCAGGAGAGCAGGAACCTGAGGACATGTCAAGTTGTAATAAGCTAAGCTAAGCTAAGACAAAAATACGAGTGTGAGATGATCGTACCATTTGAACTCCAGAGAGATCCTTCTTCAGTCCAGTCAGTGTCTGATACAGAACCTGAACAACAACAACAACAACAACAACAATAATCAGTACAGTTACAGGTAACAGCTGATTTCTCCTGTTTCACTGCTCAACAACATCAACCACCATTAAAGACAGATTACAGCTGTCTCTACTGTGTCTCTACTGTGTTTACTGTCTCTACTGTCTCTCTGTGTCTCTACTGTGTTTACTGTCTCTATTGTGTTTACTGTCTCTACTGTCTCTCTGTGTCTCTACTGTGTTTACTGTCTCTATTGTGTTTACTGTCTCTACTGTCTCTGTGTCTCTACTGTGTCTCTACTGTGTCTCTACTGTGTTTACTGTCTCTACTGTCTCTCTGTGTCTCTACTGTGTTTACTGTCTCCATTGTGTTTACTGTCTCTACTGTCTCTCTGTGTCTCTACTGTGTTTACTGTCTCTATTGTGTTTACTGTCTCTACGTCTCTACTGTGTCTCTACTGTGTTTACTGTCTCTACTGTCTCTCTACTGTGTTTACTGTGTTTACTGTGTCTACTGTCTCTCTGTGTCTCCACTGTGTTTACTGTCTCTACTGTGTTTACTGTGTCTACTGTCTCTACTGTCTCTCTACTGTGTTTACTGTCTCTACTGTGTTTACTGTGTCTACTGTCTCTCTGTGTCTCTACTGTGTTTACTGTGTCTACTGTCTCTACTGTGTCTACTGTCTCTCTACTGTCTCTCTACTGTGTTTACTGTCTCTCTACTGTCTCTCTACTGTGTTTACTGTCTCTACTGTGTTTACTGTCTCTCTACTGTGTTTACTGTGTCTACTGTCTCTCTACTGTGTTTACTGTCTCTACTGTGTCTCTACTGTGTTTACTGTCTCTCTGTGTCTCTACTGTGTTTACTGTGTCTACTGTCTCTCTGTCTCTCCACTGTGTCTCTACTTTGTTTACTGTGTTTGCTGTCTCTCTACTGTGTCTACTGTCTCTCTACTGTGTCCACTGTCTCTCTACTGTGTGGCTGTGGCACAGAGGCAGAGCGGGTCGTCCCTTAATCGGAAGGTTGTTGGTTCCACATGCCACATGTCGAAGTATCCTTGAGCAAGATACTGAACCCGAATCCCAATGTTGAGCATCGGTGTATGAATGTGTTTTATTTGTGTGAGTTTCTGTTTGATGGACTTTGCCATCACTGAGTGAATGTGTGTGAAAGGTGCCATGTGTTTACTGTCTCTACTGTGTTTAGTGTCTCTTACATTGTCGTTATGTCCGCTGATGGCTGACTCCTCTTCCTTCAACTTCATCAGGTCGATGTCTCGCTCGTAGTGGCTGACCTCTGTCAGAGTACGAGGGATGTAGGCCTTCTTAAACACCTGGGGGGGCGCAATGACAGTTAAAGGAGGTCAAACGGGTGGGGGGGGGACTTACTTACTGTGAAAAGCTCAACAGGATGATGTCTCACCTCCTCATCTACTCGGTCCTGATCTGTTCGCTGCTCCGCCGTCCTCTCAGCTGCGATCACCATCGCCTGGACGACCAATCATGACAGTGTCACTCATTGTTTTACTCATTATGAATAAGGAATTAATCATTAAATTAATAAACAACAGGAGGCACTCAGACCTTCTCCAGGTACTGGTCCATGTTGTGGCAGGTGATTGACGGGTCGGTGATGAAGTCAAACAGCTCTCTGACCGTCATCACTGCCACACCGCGCTTCACAAAGAACTCTGGGTAAAAATCAGACAGACTTCATTCATACAGGAGAACATTTCATATCAGACAAATTATTCCTCGTATCACAGAGCTGATTGACAGATTAGTTATTGATTGGGGACATACAAGTCCTCTGCAGTGAGTCCTCCATTAAACACAGAACTCAACACGGACCTTAAAGCTGCAGGCAGTGCGAATGTGGTTTAAATCAAAGTACGACTGCCACACAAAGCAACCCTCATCCTGACAACTTCCATGGTTACATGGTGGTAGATCAAGATTTGACGCCACGTGACGGACACACCGTCCAATAAAAACTCACAAATTTCACAGTACAGTATCATCAAAGTCTGAAGGCTTTCTAAGGTGGATCCGAGCAACCTGGTAGGAGGAGCAAATCAAAGTTTAATGCCTGACACTTCCTGTTCCCAGTAGGTGTTGCTATGAGTATGACTGAATATTGACATGTAGGTGTGTTCAGGGCGGGACTCTAAAGTTTGGGGCAGATTGGATAATGTACATTTATATGGTATGTTGCGAGTCCTAAACTGGAACTGACCGTTGACATTGCTGCAGTCCTTCCTAAGGAACTCCAGAGCATGAGGATGGTCGTGCTCCACTGACTGGGACACGTCGATTATGTAAGCGTCTCCGTTGTGATATCTACACACAGGTTAGAAAAACACAGATTTTTATTTTGAAGGGATGTTTGTGGTGAGCGTGTCCTGTTGGTGGGCGTGGCCTCTCACAGCATGTTAAATTCGCTGAGGTCAGCGTGGACAAGTCGAGCCTCCTGGAACATCTTCCTCATGTGCTGGAGAACCTGCATGTAGAGCTCACGGGCCTTTGACTCCGACAACAACGCGTTCTTCAGCAGAGGGGCCGGCCTGAGCGATCAATACAGGAGAACGATCAATACCGGAGAACGATCAATACAGGAGAGCGATCAATACAAGACAGGACAGTCATAATTAATTTGGTACAGTCTGATCAATCACCCTGATTGGTTCTTACATGTTTTCTTTTCCGATGAAACTCATCAGCAGAACATGACTTCTGAGCAGAAGCGGTTCTGGACTTGGGATTCCTGCCGTCTGCAGCCTGAAACACACACAGTGTCAGTCGGCTCAGGTTCTCCTGGGTTCTACCAGTCAGTCTGCTCAGGTTCTCCAGGGTTCTACCAGTCAGTCGGCTCAGGTTCTCCTGGGATCTACCAGTCAGTCGGCTCAGGTTCTCCTGGGTTCTACCAGTCAGTCGGCTCAGGTTCTCCAGGGTTCTACCAGTCAGTCGGCTCAGGTTCTCCTGGGATCTACCAGTCAGTCGGCTCAGGTTCTCCTGGGTTCTACCAGTCAGTCGGCTCAGGTTCTCCAGGGTTCTACCAGTCAGTAGGCTCACGTTCTCCTGGGTTCTACCAGTCAGTCGGCTCAGGTTCTCCAGGGTTCTACTAGTCAGTCGGCTCACGTTCTCCTGGGTTCTACCAGTCAGTCTGCTCAGGTTCTCCAGGGTTCTAACTGTCAGTCGGCTCAGGTTGTATTGGGTTCTGACCTGATAAGGTTCCTCATCTCCTTCTCTGCCCAGGTTCTCACCATCTTCCGAGGGTTTCCTTTACAGTAACCATGACGGAACCTGCAGAACAAAAGAAGAAGCTCTCATAACAATAAGGACACTCTTCTTCTGTGGTACTGACCTGAACTCTTCTTCTGTGGTACTGACCTGAACTCTCCGCTGACGTATTTGTCGCGGTCTTTGAACAGCAGGATGGACGTCTTGTAGATCTTGATGGCTCTGCTGTCGCCGCCTGACGTGCTGGCGTGGTAAACATTGGCCTGAAGAACACGAGATTATTGTTACAGTGTATTGATCAGAGAACTGATCGGCATATTGATCTGTGATCTGACCTCCTTCCCCGTACTGATGCAGCCGTTGATCTCACTGATCGCACCTCGACTCAACATCTTGAAGAGAATCATTCTCGTCCGCGGATCTAAAACCTGCAGAAGAAGAACAATCAGCTGAGAGCCAAATGATTGATTTATTGATTGTCAGGTGATCAATAAACATCCTGAGAAATAAACAGGTGAGTGTCACTTCCTGTCAGCTCACCTGTTCGACGGTGGCTCGATCTGACTTGTCCTTCACTCTGTACCTGCAGAGAGCAGCCAATCACAATGTTAGTCACATCATCACATGACCTGTGAAGTAAGCAGCAGCAAGGTGATGTCACACGTACGTGTCAGCTTCCTTCTGTTTCTGCATCGTCGTGACTTTATTGATCACTGAGTCAGCATAATTCAGTTTATCTGAAATCACAACAATCGATTATTGATTTTCAGTAGAAACACCATAAATAACCGATTCACAAAGATAATCAAACTAATTGATTTCAAACTGCCCCTCCTGATCAAGTTCTACTCCTAATCAATAACATTTGAATGATGGTGTGTTACCCAGATTGATCTTGTGTTCGTACTTCCTCAGAGCTTTATCAGACGGAGTTGAAGGCAGATTCTTATTGGATGGATTCTGTCTGTTAGACTGACCAATAAAAACACAGATCAACAGTCAGCTCACTGATCGGTTATCAATAATCAATATGATCTGACTGATCAGACTGTGTCTAACCTGACAGTTGAGACTTGTCCTGTTGTATCTTTTAGTCAGATCTCCTCCAGCTGAACACCACGCCCACTCTTCATCATCCTCCTCCTCCTCCTCCTCCTCCTCCTCCTCGTCCCACTCTGATGAAGGCAGCACTGTGACATCACTCATCTGGCTCTGCACAGCCGACAGCTCTGATTGGTCGCTGCACACGAGACAGAAAGAGTCAGAAACATCGAACATGGCCGCCTAGTTGTCTTATAGAGGGTATGCACGTGACATCACGGTACCCGGAAGTCGCTGCGGTTACGCCCGCTGAGGGAAGTCGCTGCGGTTACGCCCTCTGAGAGAAGTCGCTGCGGTTACGCCCGCTGAGGGAAGTCGCTGCGGTTACGCCCGCTGAGAGAAGTCGCTGCGGTTACGCCCACTGAGGGAAGTCGCCGGTTACGCCCACTGAGAGAAGTCGCTGCGGTTACGCCCGCTGAGGAGTCGCGGTTAGCCCGCTGAGGAAGGCGCGCGGTTACGCCCGCTGAGAGAAGTCGCTGCGGTTACGCCCACTGAGGGAAGTCGCTGCGGTTACGCCCGCTGAGAGAAGTCGCTGCGGTTACGCCCGCTGAGGGAAGTCGCTGCGGTTACGCCCGCTGAGAGAAGTCGCTGCGGTTACGCCCGCTGAGGGAAGTCGCTGCGGTTACGCCCGCTGAGGGAAGTCGCTGCGGTTACGCCCGCTGAGGGAAGTCGCTGCGGTTACGCCCTCTGAGAGAAGTCGCTGCGGTTACGCCCGCTGAGAGAAGTCGCTGCGGTTACGCCCGCTGAGGGAAGTCGCTGCGGTTACGCCCTCTGAGAGAAGTCGCTGCGGTTACGCCCTCTGAGAGAAGTCGCTGCGGTTACGCCCGCTGAGAGAAGTCGCTGCGGTTACGCCCTCTGAGAGAAGTCGCTGCGGTTACGCCCTCTGAGAGAAGTCGCTGCGGTTACGCCCTCTGAGAGAAGTCGCTGCGGTTACGCCCGCTGAGGGAAGTCGCTGCGGTTACGCCCTCTGAGAGAAGTCGCTGCGGTTACGCCCTCTGAGAGAAGTCGCTGCGGTTACGCCGCTGAGGGAAGTCGCTGCGGTTACGCCGCTGAGGGAAGTCGCTGCGGTTACGCCCGCTGAGAGAAGTCGCTGCGGTTACGCCCTCTGAGAGAAGTCGCGCGGTTACGCCGCTGAGGGAAGTCGCTGCGGTTACGCCCTCTGAGAGAAGTCGCGCGGTTACGCCCGCTGAGAGAAGTCGCTGCGGTTACGCCCGCTGAGGGAAGTCGCTGCGGTTACGCCCGCTGAGGGAAGTCGCTGCGGTTACGCCCCTCTGAGAGAAGTCGCGCGGTTACGCCCGCTGAGAGAAGTCGCTGCGGTTACGCCCGCTGAGGGAAGTCGCTGCGGTTACGCCGCTGAGGGAAGTCGCTGCGGTTACGCCCTCTGAGAGAAGTCGCTGCGGTTACGCCCGCTGAGAGAAGTCGCTGCGGTTACGCCCGCTGAGAGAAGTCGCTGCGGTTACGCCCGCTGAGAGAAGTCGCTGCGGTTACGCCCGCTGAGAGAAGTCGCTGCGGTTACGCCCGCTGAGAGAAGTCGCTGCGGTTACGCCCGCTGAGAGAAGTCGCTGCGGTTACGCCCGCTGAGAGAAGTCGCTGCGGTTACGCCCGCTGAGAGAAGTCGCTGCGGTTACGCCCGCTGAGAGAAGTCGCTGCGGTTACGCCCGCTGAGAGAAGTCGCTGCGGTTACGCCCGCTGAGAGAAGTCGCTGCGGTTACGCCCGCTGAGGGAAGTCGCTGCGGTTACGCCCGCTGAGGGAAGTCGCTGCGGTTACGCCCGCTGAGAGCCGACAACGTTTCAAATATTCAATAATAGTCGATATTCAACATGAGGAAGAGCTGCTGTGCTATCGACTGCACTGACAGATCTTCAGAAAGTTTCTACAGACTACCAGAAGCAGCAGGAAAGAGACGGCGATGGGTCGCTGCGACCCGGAGAGACAGCTGGTATCCAGGCAACGAGACCTGGACCTGCGTTAAATGATGTCATATATTGCCACCGTTACTTCAGTAAAGCTCTTAACGTTAGTATCTTTCATTTAGCTATATTCATCACCCTGTGTTCATTCATAAGACCAGCTAACTTAAGGTAACTGAAGTACCCAAACGTCATACTTTAGTTAAAATAAAGAGTTAAAGTATTACTCTGGTAAAAGTGAAAGTCACCTAAATAAATAGTCCTTGGGTAAAAGTCTCAAAGTGTCTGATGTTGGCTGTGCTTAAATATCAAGTACAAGTAAATGATTAACTTCAATACACTGTAGGTTACTGTAAACTGACTGTCAGCTCTTTTTCTGCTGGGATGTTTAGTTTTGGATCTATTTATAGAGATCTATCAGAGAGATCAGAGATATATATAACGATCTATAGATCTCTGATCTATTTATAGAGATCTATCAGAGATCAGAGATATATATAGATCTATAGATCTCTGATCTATTTATAGAGATCTATCAGAGAGATCAGAGATATATATAGATCTATAGATCAGAAGATCAGAGATAGATCTATAGATCTATAGATCGTTATATAGATCTATATATGGTAGAGTCGGTATCAGGGTGTATGGATCAGTCATTGGCGGCAGACAGGGTGTAACGTCACATTATGTAAATATGTGTGTATGTTTCTTGCCCGCCAGGTGGTAACCATGGTAACCACGTGACTGCAAAGTATGAATTGTTTATTTATTCAGCAAATAAACAAACAACAAATCAATAACTCATTAACAACTGAACGTCTCCATGGCAACCATCCGGACTACTTTTACTGTACGTACTTCAGTTCTAGAAAGCTACTGTCACACACTGATAATCAATCGATTGATGATCCGATTGATTACAGTGGAAACTCACCGCTCCTCCTCTGCGTCATCAAACTGTCCCGGTACGGAACCGACCGCCGACATGACGTCAACGACCTCCGTTGACCAACGCTGAGACCCAGAACCGGATCGATACAGAACCGGTCCAAACTGACGCACACTGATCCGGATCGATACAGAACCGGTCCAAACTGACGCACACTGATCCGGATCGATACAGAACCGGTCCAAACTGACGCACACTGATCCGGATCGAAACAGCAGCTCCAAGCGCGGCAGCGTGTTCTCTGCACTTCCGGGTCTGAACACGTGACTACGGCAAGAGGACGGAGGCCTGAGGCGAAGTGAAGCTGAGTGCCGGAAACGCTTAGATGATCGATAATAAAGTTATATGCAGTTCATACGGAGCGGAAGTGGACACAACCACAGAAGAAGTAAACGTTTAAAATCAATTATGTGGTTTTTTTTCAGCCTTCAAAAATGAAGCCTTTACGTTGAAAATCCGTGACCGGAAGTGTGTGGCAGCGGTAGCTTCCTGCTCAGCGTGTTTAATAAAGTTTAAATAAAGTTTAATAAAGTTTAAATAAAGTTTAAGTGAAGATGTCTGCGGACCTGGATCAGACTCCTCGCTCTCTGCTGGTCTGGGATCGGTCCAGTTTCCTGGACGAGAAGAACCGGTTGAGTTCTCAGGTGGAGCAGCTGCACTTCAACTACAAGGTACTGCTAGCCTGTTAGCCTGTTAGCCTGTTAGCCTGTTAGCCTGTTAGCCTGTTAGCCTGTTAGCCTGCTAGCCTGTTAGCCTGTTAGCATGTTAGCCTCACCAACAGTAGCTAACAGCGCCACGTGAGGAGGTAGCAGCTAGCATGCTAACAGGCTAGCACCTAGCATGCTAACAGAATAAAACTAACTGGAGTTTCACAATAAAAGTCTGAATTAGCTGAACTAGTCTTTCCATCTTTGTGGATAAACACAATCAGATATTCCTTTATTCCAGACACAGCAGCACAGAATGAGTGCTACAGGGTCACAATACATAATAATAGTAATAATAATAATAATAATAATAATAATAATAATAGTAATAATAGTAATAATAATAATAATAGTAATAATAATAATAATAGTAATAATAATAATAATAATAATAATAATAGAATAATAATAATAATAATAATAATAGTAATAATAAATAATAATAATAATAATAGTAATAGTAATAATAATAGTAATAATAGTAATAATAATAATAATAATAATAGTAATAATAATAATAATAATAATAATAGTAATAATAATAATAATAATAATAATAATAATAATAATAATAATAGTAATAATAATAATAATAGTAATAATAATAATAATAATAATAATAAAATAGTAATAATAATAATAATAATAATAGTAATAGTAATAATAATAGTAATAATAATAGTAATAGTAATAATAATAATAGTAATAATAGTAGTAATAATAATAATAATAGTAATAATAATAATAGAATAATAATAATAATAAATAATAATAATAATAATATTATGTTTAACAATTAGGGGCTGAATGATTTGGGAAAATAATCTAATTGCATTTTTTCCCCCCAATATTAAAATTGCGATTTTTGTTAATGCAATTTTATTTTTTATTTTAGCCTCTTTTTTCCCCCAACAAATCATAACGAATGATTTAGATATGACCAACACAATATTAGATACATTTAGTGTACAATGTTCTTCCTATAGGCGGGGCCTATTTGTTAGAATTCAATTAAAAGATGTATGACTGAAATAAATGACACTTTTATTAAAGTGCTCATTACAGAAACATCTGTGGCTTCACCACTGTGCATTTAAGTAATTTAAACAAAGGCATGCACTTTGTAAACACTGTCTCAGGAAAAAAATCATTTAAAATAATTTGTATCTTACTGCTCCCAAGTCAGTAACACTTCGGACAACTGAAACAGAATCTGCCTCTACTACTTTGAAAATGTTTTGTAAAATCAAAGTAAATAAAGCTATAAATATAAAAATGGAGAAATGCACTTTTCAATTAGACAATAAAAAAACAATTATTATTATATAGATCAACCTCACTTATCTCAAGTACACAACAGTAACACACCACACAGGCTACAGTTCACTATGAGTATGGCACTGCCAGCCATAATGATCCAACGGGAGGGTGTACTGTACCGTTTATCAGCGTATTTATCAATGCCATGAACCCAGGCTTGGTCACCGTGCTGGCAGGCATCATATCTTTGGCTATGAACTCGGTTATTGCCCGAGTGATTTCCCCGTGCCGTTTTGAATTCCGTTCATATGGAGGGACACTTTCAAACATTTGGGTCAGTGATCCCTGTCTTGAGGTATTTGGCTTGTCTGGCACTCTGGTGCTCTGGTGCTCGGCATTTTGGCCATACAACTGTCATACATTGATTTGTGGTATTTTTTTAAGTGCTGGAACAAGTTTGTAGTGTTACCCTGTGAAGTAGCAACGGGAGCACGGCACGCTCTGCACAACACCTGACGCTGCGCAGCATCTTCTCTTTTGAAACCAAAAGAGTTCCACACCACCGACGTGCTGTTCCTCTTCGAGACTAAAGTCTGAGCTGTGTCCGTTTCTGACTGTTCCGTTGAGCCAGAGGCCATTGCGCAACAGGTTAAAGGGCAACAGGAAAAGTTGATGCAGCCGAGTTCTCCACTCTTTCGCTCGCGTCACGTGACCACCTTGTAATTGCACAAGTTGTGGTTATAAAATTGCGTTTTATCATATCGCGATATTATCGCAAATTCAATTAATCGTTCAGCCCTAATAACAACTGTGTCTCTGCGTTTATTGCAAGAAGTTATGGATAGCAGGTTAAAGTTCACAGTATTGTAGCAGCATTAATACAGATAGAAAAGAATCAGACATACTTTATTTATTATGGTTGTAAGAGTAGAAGTAATAATAACATTAAATATGTGCATTATTTTACAATATATAGAGAATATAAGAGTGTAAGAATATGTACCATATACTACAGTGTGTAACAAAATATAGAAAATAAGACTATAATAGAAACTATACAAGAGCAACTGAAGTGGACACAGTGTGGATTAATACATGTTGGAGTTATATAAGAGGTCAGTCTTAATATAAAATATAATGAATAAAACAAAACTATAATATAGTACAGGTTGTAAGCTGTAATAATGTATTAATATAACAGCAGAAAACCGCCATATATCCCAATATAAATCTAATATTTTCAGTCACCTCCGGCGCTGCAGAGAGTGGCAGCTCGACACAACAGCTCTTTATTTACACCTCTTAATCTTTCCTTTCTTTTTCTTCCCTTCTTACTAGCACTGTATTTGTTGTTGTCGATAGGACCAACAGTGTTGGTAGATGAGTTTTTATCTATAAACAATGTGCAGGAATGTGGACACCGCGGTCTCACCCAGTGTGTCACAGACTACATCAGGTTCTGTGAGGACAGCGTTATCCCCACCAAGAGGATTCGCTGTTTCCCCAACAACAACCATCGATCAACAGAGACACCAAAGCCCTGTTGAACAGAAAGAAGAGGGTGTTCATGGCAGGAGATGAAGATGCCAAGAAAGACATTCAGAGGGAGTTGAGGAGAGAGTTGAGGAGGGAGCGGAGGAGGGAACTGAGGAGGGAGCGGAGGAAGGAGGGAACTGAGGAGGGAGTGGAGGAAGGAGGGAACTGAGGAGGGAGGGAACTGAGGAGGGAGCGGAGGAAGGAGGGAACTGAGGAAGGAGGGAACTGAGGAGGGGGAGTGGAGGAGGGAACTGAGGAGGGAGCGGAGGAGGGAGGGAACTGAGGAGGGAGTGGAGGAGGGAACTGAGGAGGGAGTGGAGGAGGGAACTGAGGAGGGAGCGGAGGAAGGAGGGAACTGAGGAGGGAGCGGAGGAGGGAGGGAACTGAGGAGGGAGCGGAGGAGGGAACTGAGGAGGGAACTGAGGAGGGAACTGAGGAGGGAGCGGAGGAAGGAGGGAACTGAGGAGGGGAGGGGAACGGAGGAGGGAGCGGAGGAGGGAGGGAGCGGAGGAGGGAACGGAGGAGGGAGCGGAGGAAGGAGGGAACTGAGGAGGGAGCGGAGGAGGGAACTGAGGAGGGAGCGGAGGAAGGAGGGAACTGAGGAGGGAGCGGAGGAAGGAGGGAACTGAGGAGGGGAGCGGAGGAGGGAGCGGAGGAAGGAGGGAACTGAGGAGGGAGGGAGGAGGGAGGGAGGGAGCGGAGGAGGGAGGGAACTGAGGAGGGAGTGGAGGAGGGAACTGAGGAGTGAGTGGAGGAGGGAGAACTGAGGAGTGAGTGGAGGAGGGAACTGAGGAGGGAGCGGAGGAAGGAGGGAACTGAGGAGGGAGCGGAGGAGGGAGCGGAGGAGGGAGGGAACTGAGGAGGGAGCGGAGGAGGGAACTGAGGAGGGAACTGAGGAGGGAGCGGAGGAGGGAGGGAACTGAGGAGGGAGTGGAGGAGGGAGCGAACTGAGGAGGGAGCGGAGGAAGGAGCGGAGGAGGGAGCGGAGGTGGGTGCTCAGGTTCCTCCTCCACTCTCACATTGGCTGGTGTTAATATTTTGTTAATATTCTTGTTTTGTGATTCTTATTGTTCTCGTACACTCTGTACTCTTTGCTCTACATTCCCCTCTGCTGCTGTGTCTGACAGGGATCAATAAAGGTACATCTTATCTTTATAATATAGTAGAACACATAAATAACAATATAATCCAAATGTTTATTACTATTTTCACTCCAACAGAGCTAAGATAATTGTTTGATTGATCAGGGTTAGTGCGTATTAATAAACAATAATAAACATTTCTGTAAATGAGTATTAATCAGTAGTTCCTGGACAGATTTATTGAAATGATAATAAAATAACAGACAGATTTCATTATTATTAAAACATTATTTCTGCTGGTGACAGCTGAATACAGGTGAGATAATGACAATTCAACCATTACTTATTATTGGGTCTCTCACCTGAGGAATGTGTTTCAGTTTAATAATGAACTGAGTTGTTTTACCTGTGCAGGTGTCTGTGCTGCTGCCCGAATGTAGCTCCGCCCCCGATCACCTGGACGCTGTATTAAACAGTTTCAGCAGTTTCTATCTGATCAGGAAGCTGCCGATATATGAACTGCTGGATAAACATTTCCTGGAGACCGCCGTGTACCAGGGTAACACCTGACAAACCTGATGCACACACAACTGTTACACCTGTACACATACATTGTACACACACACCTTGTACATCTGTACACACACACAACTGTTACACTTGTACACACACCTTGTACACCTGTAGAGAAGATGAGATTAGATGTTCCCCCATATGAAAAATTGAATACACACCTGTGGACACACCTGTGGACACACCTGTGGCAGACAGTGATCAGTGTTTGCTGTGTGTGTGTTTCAGGTAGCGTGTATGGAATGTCGTACAGGACCAGGATAGATGAAGATACCTGTGTCGCTCTGATGCCAAACGGTAAAAACACATCTACACTGATGATGATGTCATCAGTGTACAGGTGTTTCATCCAGGTAGTCAACTAATCATATCTGTCTGTGCGTCTGTCTGCAGGCCACCTGTCTCTCTCTCTGGATAAAGACTCCTTTGAGTTGTTGGGAGTTGAAGGAAAACCATCCAGATACAACCACAGAACAAACTGCAGATATGGTCTCAACATCACAGTGACGTAACTGTGATGTCACTGTGATGTCACAGTTGATATGAAATCATTGTTGTACCTGGTTCAGGTGTACCAGGCAGATTGATGATCTTTAACCTTATTATTAACGTCTATATAAATACTAAAGTTCTCTTACTGTGTGTTTCTCTTCCAGTAGTAACCGTGGATCTGACTGACAGCAGCATGGCTCCTGGTGGGCGGGGCTACCAGAGACTCCTCACGGGTCTGAGGTCACGACTTCAACTGAAGACCGACTTCCTGCTGTCACATCATCCAGGTGAGTTACATCATCATCATCCAGGTGGTGCCGATTGTAGATGAAACCACGCCCACTCCTGTAATCCTGCAGAGCGAATGTTTCCCGCTACGGGTCCGGAGGAGGAGTGAGCACAGCGGCGTAGATTTGTTTACATCATCAGAAGTCACACAGAAACAGCTAATGCTAAGCTAATACTGTGTAGTGGAAACTAACCCCTGCTGTCTGTGCTGTACTTGAATTTCCCTCGGGATGAATAAAGTATCTACCTATCTATCTGTAGGGGGCGGTGACGCTCTGCAGGCACTCCTGTCTCGTTACAATTGGTCGGAGCACAGACCGGAGGTCTGCAGTCGCACCCTGACGGACCTGCCCTGCCCTGCCCTGCTGACCTCAGACCTCCTGACCTCTGACCCTCACAGCTTCCTGGAATGGATTGGAGCTGTGGACGCCGGCGTCAGCTGGTGAGAAGACTGACGCCATGAACTGTGAGCTCTGTCATGTGACCCCCTGTTGACTCTTCTTCTGTGATTTCAGTGAGAACTCATCCAGCAGCTTCCTGTCCTCGCTAGTCTGTCCTGAGCCAAAGACCACGTTGAGTCAAGCTCTGATCGTCTCCATCTGTGGACTGCTGCTCCCCCAGGACCTCCACCGGCTGATCCACCAGACCAGGTTGGTCCACCAGACCAGGGTTAGGATACACAGTAGTAGCAGATGCAGCAGTATATATCTGTAGTACTGTTACAGTCCAGAGCTGACAGTAATAAAGTGACTCTAATGTAAAATTCTCACCTGTCCTGCAGGGGTTACCTGGAGCAGCCTCGGCTGGAGTCCTGGGCGTCCCTGACAGTTCATGGTTTTGCTGACAGTCCGGTGTCGTGGGGGTGCAGTGAACACGGAGTTCTGAGAGGAGGAGAGAACTTCTACAGTCTGCTGATGTTCCACGACCACACCTACCACCTTCACCTGGCTGCAGGAGCAAATGACACATGTCCACCATGATGTCATCCGCTGAGGTCTGGTTTTAATCTGGATCAGGTTTTGTTGTAGAAACCGTTGCTATCTGTATACCTGCTGCCTCGCGGTGGCCCTAAGGTTGTTTAATAAACTGATCTCATTTTCATCCCTGATCAGAAACTGACAAATGTTTAATTTGTTCATTAAAGTTATTTGTGTTGTCATTAACCATTTCCATCATTTAATTCCTAAAATAAAAACATTATCTTTTATGAAAATGTAAATATTGTTTGTTTTCTGTACGGCGTGGGGAACCAGTGAGCGTCTGTGTTACGGCGTGGGGAACCAGTGAGCGTCTGCGTTACGGCGTGGGGAACCAGTGAGCGTCTGCGTTACGGCGTGGGGAACCAGTGAGCGTCTGCATTACGGCGTGGGGAACCAGTGAGCGTCTGCGTTGCGGCGTGGGGAACCAGTGAGCGTCTGCGTTACGGCGTGGGGAACCAGTGAGCGTCTGTGTTACGGCGTGGGGAACCAGTGAGCGTCTGCGTTACGGCGTGGGGAACCAGTGAGCGTCTGCGTTACGGCGTGGGGAACCAGTGAGCGTCTGCGTTACGGCGTGGGGAACCAGAGCGTCTGCTACGGCGTGGGAACCAGTGAGATGGTTACGGCGTGGGGAACCAGTGAGCGTCTGCGTTACGGCGTGGGAACGGCGTGGGGAACCAGTGAGCGTCTGCATTACGGCGTGGGGAACCAGTGAGCGTCTGCGTTACGGCGTGGGGAACCAGTGAGCGTCTGCGTTACGGCGTGGGGAACCAGAGAGGTCTGCTTTACGGCGTGGGGACCAGGAGAGTATGCTTACGGCGTGGGGAACCAGTGAGCGTCTGCGTACGGCGTGGGAACGGCGTGGGGAACCAGTGAGCGTCTGCGACGGGTTGGGAACGGCGTGGGGAACCAGTGAGCGTCTGCATTACGGCGTGGGAACCAGTGAGCGTCTGCGTTGCGGCGTGGGGAACCAGTGAGCGTCTGCGTTGCGGCGTGGGGAACCAGTGAGCGTCTGCGTTACGGCGTGGGGAAGATCTGATTGGCTGTATGGGAAGATCTGATTGGCTGTATGGGAAGATCTGATTGGCTGTATGGGAATAAGGTCTCAATGTACAGATGATATTTAAATGGATGCAGAACATAGATTCCTCACACTGAGCAGATGTTGATATGATATTTAATATCTGTTGTTCTTAAAGGTTCAGTGTTTATATGAAATAAACAGAATAAGAGTCTTATAACAGTCTGCAAACCTGAACCTGCTCAGATCCTGATGCTGTTCAGACCCCCACCTCAGTCGTCAATATTTACCCAGAATTCATCACGGTCACACTGCGGCATGATCATACAAATTAATTAGATTGCATTGTCCTGTCAGCGCCCCCTGTAGGCTGCAGAGTTCACCATATCCTTATCTGTTATTAGACTCTGAGCATCAAGCAAGGTAAAGTTTGTCCTGAGGGTGGCGCTGGAGGACAGACTGCGGAGCTGCAGGTGTGGACTCGTATCTGTGAACGATTATCTCCTCTGATTAGAAAAAACATGAACCCCCAGAGGAAACATCATGGTCAGTGTTAGTTCATTTCCTGTTTGTATTCAGCTGTCACTTCCTGTTTATTCCTCCATGTAGAAATTAGGGATTCAAATCAGGGAATTCTGGGAGAAAGTCATTGAAAGAAGAGTCCAACATCTCATCAGATACTGTTAGCCTAGCTTAGCACAGGTGATTTTCTTTATCAAAACACTGGACAGAAGTCCCTTTGGAAATCTGCTGTTTTAAGCATACAGCACGTTATAAACATACAGTCTGATTTAATGAGCTGTTTAAACACACAGAAGGTCTGTTCAGGTTCGCTTCACACTGACACAGGTTTACGGCCCTCAGTTTAGTCTGGCAGGAACAACAGTGATGATGACGTTATCATCCAAAGGAAGCGTGTAAAGCTGAATAACTGAGGACCCAGAGTGGAACCCTGTGGAACCCCACAGTTGAGATTACAGTAAACCGGAGAACAAAAGAGTTCACAGTGTCCGACTGTTCTTAGATCAATGTATAACTTAAATTTTAACATGTTCAGTGCTTCCTGTCCAGCTCAGAATCTGCTGAGTCACTGCTGCCTGCTTAGAGCTGCTGAGTCAGGGGACCACGTTCTGCTCCTGGTTCAGGTCCTTGTCCATGTCCAGGTTCTAGCAGAGTTCGGTTCTCCTCTGCAGGTACTGCAGGATGGAGTCGGTCCCCTGCGATGAGCCCCACACTCTCTTCAGAGCTTCACACTCGCGCTCATTAGCTTGCTCCAGAGCACTGCGGCTGGTGTTCCTCATCAGGGCTTTAGACTCACGCAGAACCTGCAGGACAGGAAGTGGAACCGTCACCACCGTGGACGGCGAAGAAGAAATCAGATGAGAAGAAATGGACATTTAAAATATATAAACACAGCTGTTCCTAAATATATATCCAACCCTCTGTAGTGTTTGCTTCAGTTACTGAAGGTCTGTTTTCTGCTGACACTTTATTTACGTTGTCTCTACATTAATGTCACATTCATTACTCTTATCGGCTTTTTATTTGCGGGACTTTTGTTGTACTTGCAGTGGCGTGTTAAGTGTGGTTGTGTCGGCTCTCTACCGCTCTCTCCTCCGAGCAGAGGAAGCCCTTCCCACTGCGAAACTCTGTGGGCGGGGCTTCCTGCGCTCACACTTACAGAGCTCAGAGTGGAGGAAAGAGACAGCAGAGAGCTCACGATGGCAGCAGATACATCAATCATTGAGATCAGAGCATCGCTAACATAAACTGTAGATACGTGTTTGTGACTGACCAGCGAGTTGACGGTCACCAGCTCTTTGATTCGAAGCATCACTTCCTGTGTGAAGGTCCCCGGCCAGAGAACCTGAGACACCAGACCTTTAGAACACGCCTCCTGAGCCGTCAACTTCCTGCCGCTCAACAGCAGCTCGTTAGCCTGGAACAGAACAGAACGTTATAATTGATCCTGGAACAGAACAGAACGTTATAATTGATCCTGGAACAGAACAGAACGTTATAATTGATCCTGGAACAGAACAGAACGTTATAATTGATCCTGGAACAGAACAGAACGTTATAATTGATCCTGGAACAGAACAGAACAGAAACGTTATAATTGATCCTGGAACAAAACAGAACGTTATAATTGATCCTGGAACAAAACAGAACGTTATAATTGATCCTGGAACAGAACAGAACGTTATAATTGATCCTGGAACAGAACAGAACGTTATAATTGATCCTGGAACAGAACAGAACGTTATAATTGATCCGGCACACTGACCGAGGCCAGGCCCATGATGCGTGGGAAGGTGAAGGATGAGCAGGCGTCCGGTGTCTGGCCGTAGGACGTGTACGGCGTCTGGAACCAGGCCTTCTCATTGGCCCACACCACATCGCAGAGCGGTAGAATGGCGGCACCGAGGCCGAGCGCCGGCCCGTTCACCGCTGCCACGATCGGCTTCCTGAACTGGATGAAGGTGTTGACGAAGGTCCTGGGAGAGAGGAGGCAGAGGTCAGAGGTCAGCACTTACAGACTGGTTGCCACGGCGACCTGGCTCCTCCAGGGTTACCTGATGGTTTCGGCCATCTTGATGCTCTCCTTCTTCCTGTCGTCCGTCAGGCGTCTGATGAAATACAGGAAGTCGAGGCCGCAGCAGAAGACACTGCCAACGGCACCAAGTAACACCAGCTTACTGTCGTCTGATGCTGCCGTCGCCATGGCGCTCTGGATCTCCTTCATCACCTAATGAGGAGGAGGGACAACATCAGTAACCATGACAACAGTCTTAGATGCGGCATGGCCTCACCTCTGTGTTCAGGGCTATTTGGGGGTGTGGCCTCACCTCTGGGTTGAGCGTGTTGTTCTCAGAGCTCTTGGTCGACAGCAGGATGTGAGTGAAGCCGTCTTGTTTCTTTACCACAATGTCGCGATAGCGGTATGCGCTCTCCGTCTGTCGAACGCTGAACCTCAGACGTTTGTCGAAAGCCGAACGTTCCTCCAGACGGCGTTTCCCGCTCGCACTGGTCGCCCCGGCAACAACACTCTGCACACCTGACATCCCGTTGGCAGCAACAGCCTCCATCAGTGGCGAGTTACCTGGAGGAGTCAGAACACAGGATGGGACATCATCAGCCAGGTGCCCTATTGGACAATCAAATGCTGCAGATTACACCTGGTGACCTTACCTGTGCCACTCAGGGAGCGCATGGCGGCAGGTGTGACGGGTACTCGGGGCGGGGGCAGGAGGGGGTTTTGGTTGCGGGGTCTGGTCCCCATGCGGGCCCTCTCCTCTCCGGGTCCCAGCTGGACTCCTGCAGGTTTCTCCAGCAGGGCGACCTCAGGTGGGACCAGGTGAGCCTCCTGAGCCCCGGCCTCCAGACCCTGAGCCGCCTCACTGGGAGACTCCTCAGAGTCCGGCCGACTGTTCATAGGACTCTTAGGAACCAGGATCTTGATGCCGGTCTTGGACAGGTCCACACTGCGGCGGGCTGAGCCGGCTGGAGACACCGCCATCAGGCCACTGCCGAACCTGCCGGCCTGCGGGTGCTGCTGGCAGCTGACCGAGGCCAGGTGGGTCAGTATGGCGGGGGGTGGGTGAGCCAGACCAAGAACAAGTTTCGCCTGGTCTCCAGTTAAACCTCCGCTGATGTCACTGCGAGCAGTGGTGGTGGGCGACGGCCTGCAGGACAGTCTGTGGGCGGGGCCGCAGTGGTGGCTGGGCGAGCTGCGGCGGGTGGAGCGCAGCAACGTGCTGTCTCTCTGCCGCTCAGCGTACTGACGGTTGAAGTCGTGGACGTAGACCATACAGGTGGACAGGTGACTCTCTGGCTCCCAGGTGTCCCCCTCTGAACCGTAACCTCTCCACCTGACCAGGTACTCCACCTTCCCCTTCTTATTCTTCCTCTTATCCACAATCCTCTCCACCTGCAGGACAAACAACCATCATCATCATTTTATTCAGGTAACGCTGCGTTTCACCAACCACCTGTCAGTGGCCTCATATCCCCTTTGTGCCTGCGTCAGCGTTGTGGTTGTCTGCCAGAAGCTGTCATACACTGACTGTTGATCCAGTCTGAAGCCACATTGTTACCATCCACTGTTTAGATCTTGGTGCTTTTTAACTCTAGATTTGAACCGGATGAAGGATTTTAGTCATCGGACGTCTGGATCTTAAGTTATCAGAGAAACAAGCTGAGCTAACGTTAGCATTAGCTCGGCTCGCAGCCCCTCCGGGACGTCCTTTGTCTGTCCAACAGCGTGGGAGAAGCAGTGATTTTTAAGGTGGAACTGCTTTATTCAGTGTGTTTAGTGTTTTTAATTAGGGGTGGTTCCATACGATACTCAGGATCACGATCCGTCCGATATTGGTCAAAAATAGCCCGTCCGATCCGATACCTAAGCCCAAAAAAACTTCACTTTCACTTTCCGCCACATGCCGTAAGACACTGCCTAAGGCAGTCTGCTGTTGCGCGACATGCCATAAACAGAGATGCAGCCGCTGCAGCATGTGTAAACAGAACGTCGTGAGTGACAGCCTAGTGATTTTATCATGTCAGCTGTGTCTCAAGGGGTGGCAGCAGGACTGGACATTACAACACCACAAACTTGATAAAGCATTTGCAAAAGCATCACGGAAAGGAGTATGAAGACTTTTTGCAGTCAACAAGTGCGAAGAAGAAAAGTGAGCCGCAACAGCAGTCATTGCAGGAAACAATACTGAAGCGTGAGAAACTCTCCCCAGAGAGCAACAAAGCAAAGGTGATAACGGAGATGGTCATCGAATTTATTTTGTTAGATGACCAGCCACTTTTCGAGGTCGAAAATGTGGGTTTTCGACGTTTGGTTGAACATTTAGAGTCTTGTTATCAGTTGCCAAATCGGCATTTCATTTCTGATACGGCTGTCCCACTTAAATACAAAGAAGTGCGCGAGTTCATTTTCGAAATGTTTGGAAAACACTGACCCGGTTAGTTTAACAGCTGACATCTGGAGCTCAAACGTGTGTCCGATGTCCCTACTAAGCCTGACAGCACAGTGGGTAGACTCGAGTTTTACGCTGCAAAAAGCAGTGCTGCAGGCTAAGCAGTTCCATGGTTCACACACAGGAGAGTCAATCACCACAGCGATTGATGGGATGCTTGATGCATGGAAAATTAAGAGCAAAGTCCATGTAATTTTAAGAGACAATGCCAGTAATGTGATAAAAGCAATGGACCGTCTTGGAGTTGCCAGTTTAGGATGCTTCGCGCATACACTACAACTTATTGTGAATGAGGGACTGCTGTTGCAGCGTGGTGTGATACGGTTGCTGTCTGCAGAAAAACTGTGGGTCACTTCAAACACTCGCCGCTTGCGTATTCACGCTTAGAGGACATTCAGGTGGAGCTGAATATGCCACCCAGTCGTCTGCAGCAAGATGTACGAACGAGGTGGACAGTTCATATTACATGATCCAGAGCCTCACTGCACAGAAAAGGGCCCTGTGTGCATACACGGCGGAGTACGACCTGCCAGCCACACTGACCGCAAGCCAGTGGGCCCAACTGGAAAAGATTGTTGCAGCTCTTGCTCCTTTTGAGGAGTTCCCAAGGGAGGTGAGCGCTTCATCAGCATCTGCATCTGACGTCATCCCTATCGTGAGTTTCCTTAAACGCATTCTCAGTCGAGAAAATGAGGCTGATGACGGAATCAAGACCATGAACAGGACCCTCCTTGAGACTGTAAACTGACGTTTCAGAGACCTGGAATCCAAGCCAGTGTACTCAGTTGCCACACTACTGGATCCACGGTACAACGTAACCCTAACCCTAACCCGTGTGTGTGTGTGTGTGTGTGTGTGCTCTCTCTCTCTTTGTGTGTGTGTGTGTGTCTCCCTCTCTCTGTGTGTGTGTGTGTGTGTGTGTGTGTGTGTGTGTGTGTGTGTGTGTGTGTGTGTGTGTGTTTGTTTTACTCTTGTAAATCTAAAACAGAAATACATATTTCAGACTGGATTCATCACTTGATGTTGAGGGTAGAAAAACTTTCAATGTTGTATGTTAATTTTTGTCGTTACAGGTACTTCACAAATGCAGAAACCTCAACACAGGGAAAGGATGCATTATTGGCAGAGGTCATGAAGATGGAGGAAGTGATGAGGAAGACCAGGGAAACAGCCTCTGAGCCAGCAGAGGGGACTTCTTCCACCTCAGAGCCAACAAAGAAGACCTCATGGGTAGAGGCTACAAGCAAGAGCAAACTTGGAAGCATTTTTGATGAAATCCTGGAGGAAAGTGCACCTGGTCCGGAGTCAACCACCACAAATGTACGTGTTGAAGTGCAGACCTACTTCAGCGAGCCAACTATTCCGCGTTCGGACAATCCACTGCTGTATTGGAAGATCAACCAACCTAGACTGCCCTCCTTGGCAGTAACGGCAACTAAATATCTCTGTGCACCTTCAACAAGAGTGGAGAGCGAGAGGCTCTTCAGCACAGCCTCCATTAGTATTGATGAAAGAAGGAGCAGCAGACTGACAGCTGAAAAGGCTGAAATGTTAATATTTCTGAAGAAGAATCTGCCCTTCATGTTGAAGTGCCAAATGAATGTCAGAAAGGAATGTAAAAGTGTTTGTGACAGTTATTTAAAGTTCGCAGTTATTTAAAGCAGCTATATGTCTTCAATGAAACACTGGAATTGAGTTCATTCTATATCTAGATTGATATCAACCCCAGAGGTTACATGTGAAAGAAGAAACATTCAAGTTTGTAGTTTGCACTGATCTGAAGTTTAAATAAAGAGCTTATGGGCCATTTTATTTCTTCTGTTAGGGGAGCAGAATATTTGTTGCACAGTTTGAACATGGTGTTTTTTTAGATGTCCACATTAAGCAAAGTACATCTATACAAGTTATATGTATTATTCACAGCTTAACGGAGGAGAAAAGAAGGTATCGGGATGATATCGGTATCGAGCCATCCCTAGTTTTAACCAGGGGTCTGTTTGTTCTGGAGAGGAGGAGATCTGTGGGTCACTGCAATGACACCAATGGTGGTGAAGACAACAACTCCCATGATCCCACACTGCTTCACCACATCATCACACTTCCTCTACTGTTAATGTTTTAGTGGCAGAATGAAAAGATTTCATTTGATAAAGAATATTTTGTAGAAAGTTTTTCAGTTTCGTGTTCAACCTCACTTTTGTAAAATAAATAAAAAATAAATAACTCTAAACAAAAACTCATCTGATGACTAACTGTGAGTTTTTATTGATCAGTTCACTGAATTGTTTGGGAACTAATAAAGTCAATAACACAGTGTTATCAATACACGAGCAGCAGATCAATAATCCTGATTAAACATTTATCTCCCTGCAGTGAGCTAGCAGTGAGCTAGCAGTGAGCTAGCAGCAGGAGCTAACAGGCTGCAGACTCTCACTGACTCTCCCGCCCTTCAGGCCGATCAATAACCCGGTTGGAGATCAATAAACTAGTTTGAGGAACTTTCTGTATTTCGGCTCCTCAGCTCAGAAAGTTCAGAAAGTTAACTCTGCCGTTAGCTACCGTTAGCATGTTAGCATTAGCTCGCGTCACCTCGTAGAACTCTTCCGTAGCCATGGAGACAGTGCGCGCGCAGCAGCAGCTTCCAGAAGCTCTTCAGAGGAGCAGAGAGAAGATGGCGGTCCGCTCCGCTCCGCCGTCTGCCGCTCCTCAACGGGACGCTCTCACTTTATCTCCGGTCACTAGCTGCTAGCTGTTAGCACCGCAGCTGCTGCGTCACATCCGGGCTGACTGCCTCACCTACAAAATAAAAGACCCCGGGCTGTCCTCATGCTACCCACTGACAATGAGCCGACTCATTATTGGAAAGTTAACATTCAGTTGGACCCGAACAAAGAAAGCCTGTTAAATACCTGAAAACGGACTAAGAATTCAATTAAAATCTCATGAATGAATGAATTAACAGCAAAGTAAAAGCCCTGAACTCCTGAAACACAGCCTTCATGTATTAGTCCATTTAACACTAACCCCAACATGGAAACCATCCCTCTATTTACTCATTAAGGTTCAAATGAAAGCAGATAACATTTATAATAAGTTCGTTAAGGTGCAAAAACCTACTACTATTACTTTGTATTTATTGACATATATCTTGGTACATAGGCTCTTATTATATTTCCATTTTTATTTTGTACTTATATATTATACCTATATATACATTTGTTCTATATATTGTGTTAGATATTGTAATATAAGTATTTCTATTCTTTAACATTGTGTTTTTGTGCAGCTGGCTATCAATAAAGTATTTCTGATTGCAGGGCGACGCTCATTCACATTAATTAATGAACAGCTGGTGTTAATTTAACTAATCATGTGTTCATTAGGTCACAACATGGGACATGATTCAGTGAATTCAAAGCGTGTTCGGTCTGACAGGGACTGAAGTCATTTTGTCTCTCTGTTGCCTCCATCGCCACCGTAGCTCCATACGTGTTGTTTTTAGTACTTTAAGTATGTTTTTTTTAAAACCTTTTTTTTTTTTAACAATCTGTTTATTGGATTTTATTTAACAATACTGTTCCATACAATAGTAATTACAGATGTAAATTCAACATATCACAGGACAGATACCAACCCCCCACCCCCCCTCCCACCAGCACCTAGCCCCGATAGATGGGGACATATAGTTGAAAAGTAAAGAAAAACAAACAAAACAAAAACAAAAATGTTGGGTTGATAGAGGAAGAGAGGAAAAGGATAAATAAATAAGTAAATTAATTAATAAAAGAATAGATAAAATAAATAATAATAATAATATTATAAGTATATTATAATAATAATAATATCTAAGTTGGCAGATCATAAGTATATATATACACATATACACACATACATACATACATACACACATACACACACACACATACACACACGTAATTTAAAGATAAATACATCTGTAATAATAAAAAAATAAAAATTAAATTAAAGCTGCAAGCAGCGTTGAGCGGGACCTCGCACTCCACACAACTCGGGGCGTGCTGCGGCTGTGTCGCGTGCCGTTGTAACACGTATGGACCACAACATGAAAATGTCACATAAATCAGCTCAAAATCGCCACGCAGTGTTGCCAGAAGGTGGCGCTATCACAATGTCTGAATGTTGTCATGTAGACGTGTTCAAGGCGAGAGTGTTATCAAACACGTGAAGTTTCATTGAGATTGGACCACGTACGCTGAAGTTATGAGGACGTGTTCAGGGCAAAACTGTTTCAGAATATATGAAGTCTATTGGAGATTGGAGATTGCACACTGAAGTTATGAGTGCTATTTTATGGCGAATCTGCTGAAATGGACAAGTCGTCACTGGCACGCGGTTTAATGTACAGTCACAGCTAAATTTTTCAATCAGTTTGTATGACGACAGAATTCAAAGCGGCCAACTTTGCCATCACGCCACAGACACGCCCTTCAACGTACATGCACAAATAGCACAACTTTAATTAGCACCATTTTTGACTGTACTCACCAATTTTGAAGCAGATCCGATAAATTCCCTAAGAGGAGTTCGTTCAAATACAACGCGAAAAGTTCGCCGAAAGTGAAACTTTAAATCAAAATGGCCGACTTCCTGTGGGGTTTCGGGTATGGGTCCAAGAGGCTTTTTTGTACGTCCAGGCACGTTACACGTGCCTACCGAGTTTCGTACATATCGGTGAAACGTGGCGCCGGGGCTGCTGTTTTTTTATCCTGTAGGGGGCGGTACACACACGACGAACACGATTTTTGGTATGTGAGCTTCAGGCACTACTCTACACGTGTCCTGTGAATTTCATATTCATAACTATTACGGTCTCCGCACAGTGATTTACCATGCCACCAGAGCGCCACCTAGTGGCGTATTTTTTTTGTCCTTTTTAGGTGAGCCTCAGGGAGCCATGGGAAAGCATCGTACCAAGTTTCATCTTAATCACACATACCGTTGTAGAGATATAAACTTCTTCATTTTAAAGAGCGCCACCTAGTGGCAATGGCCTGAAATTGTCCTTTTTTGACGAAAAATCCACAGGAAGTGCTAATTTTATAACGTGCTGGTTTTTTGAATATCAAAATTCTGTTAATCACTTTTTTTATCTTGATGGTCCTCAGATGCTACGTGAAAAACTTTGTGCGAATCGGACAAAGTGCATGAGGGGAAGAGGGAAAAGTAGTTTATGGACATTTCGCGCTCTAGTAGAGAAAAAGTATAGGCGGAAGTGGGCGTGGCCTATATGGGGAGATAAAAATAATAATAGGTAAGAAGAAGAAGAAATCAAGCAAAAACAATAGGGAACTTGCCGGTCGCTGGCTCGGTCCCTAATAAAAAATAAAAAATAAACCCTCACACAGGCCCAGCTCATTGCAGTACTTAGTTCACAGTGATCAAACATCTTGTGCTATTGACATAAGACAGGAAGGGATTCCAGGACTTCTCAAATGAGACAGCCTTACCAATCAAAGTCAGTCTTATTTTTTCTAATTTAAGAAAATAAAGCACCTCCCTAACCCAGTTTGTATAGGTAGGTGGGACTGGGGATTTCCATTTCAGAATCAGAATCAGAAATACTTTAATAATCCCAGGGGGAAATTATTTTCGTTACAACACTATACATATACAAACGACATATTATAGAGACAACATATATATATATACAAGATTCAGCACAAAAAATATAAATATATAGATATATATATATATACACAAGATCAAATGTACAGTATTAATGTGCAAAAAGTGCAAAAGAATGATTGTCTATGTTTTGAGTCAGAATTACAGAGGGGGGGTGTCTGACTCTCTGAGGGAGGCGTTGTAGAGATTGATGACCACAGGCAGGAATGATTTCCTGTGGCGCTCTGTGGTGCATCTGGGTGAGAGGAGTCTTCTGCTGAAGGTGCTCCTCTGCTGGGCCAGTGTGCCGTAGAGAGGGTGTGAGACATTGTTCAAGATGGACTGAAGCCTGGACAGCATCCTCCTCTCTGCCACGGTCGTCAGGGTGTCCAGCTCCTCCCCTACGACATCACCGGCCCTCCTGATCAGTTTGCTTAGTCTGTTGTTGTCAGTGACCCTCAGCCCACTGCCCCAGCATGTGACAGTGAAGAAGATCGTACTGGCCACAACAGACTCATAGAACATAGCCGTATCAATCTCCTGGCCAGCAGAGTTGTGAATGCAATCAAGTCCTTTTTAGCTGGGGAAAGAGTAAATGGGAAAGGCCATACACCAAACAGAGCAGTTAAGGCATTAGGAGTCACATCCCTTCCAGTTACCTTGGATAAAGTACTAAAGATCTCAGACCAAAATCTAGTCAGAGAAGAACAGCTCCAAAACATGTGTGAATAATTTGATGTGGCTTGTTGGCATCGTTCACATAGGGGAGACACTGTATCAAATATTTTTGCAAGCCGAGCTTTAGTGTAGTGAGCTCAATGGAGAATTCGACATTGCATAAAGCTGTGTCCAGCACAGACTGAAGACTTATGTACTCTCCGTAAAATCTCCTCCCAAACATCATCAAGAATCACCTCTCCAAGATCTGTCTCCCAAACTGTTTTAAGTACAGTAAAAGAGCCTTGACAGAGGTTATAAATATTTAAATGAATAAAAGAGATTGAACCTTTTAATGAAGAGAGAGGCTTCAGAAATGTTTCGAAATCTGAAGACTTAGGAAGAGCAGGGAATTCTGGGAATGAGCTACGGATACAATTTTGAACTTGAAGGTATCTAAAAAAAAATGTCCTTTAGGAAGCAAAAATTTATTTTTCAATTGCTGAAAGGAAGTAAAAATAGAATCAACATACAGGTCTCTAAAAGGTTTTATGCCCAGCCTAGTCCATATAGAGAAAGTGCTGTCCAATAACGATGGGGGAAAAAAAGGATTAGCTGCAAGTGGAGCACCAGCAGAAAGTGTTTGCAGGCCAAAATGACGTCTAAATTGAGTCCATAGTTTAATACTGGAGGCCACTATCACATTGTTAGTATAACCAGAAATAGAAAAAGACAGGGGTGAGTACAGTAAGGCTTCCAATGATACCAGATGAACAGAATTTGCTTCCAGGATCAACCATGATGGAGGGACCGCAATATCTCTATAATTAACCCAATAGTTCAAATTTATAATGTTTGTTGCCCAATAATAGTAAAGGAAGTTTGGCAACACCTTTCGCCCCAAAGCCTTGGGCCTCTGTAAAACTTGTCGACGCAACCTAGGAGTTTTCTTGTTCCAAATAAAATCAATAATAAGACTATCTACTTTACAAAAGAATGAAAGAGGAAGGAAGATCGGAAAGCATAGGAATAAATATAAAAAGCGAGGGAAAATGTTCATTTTAATTGCATTGATTCTGGCAGATATAGAAAGGTTTAGTAGCGACCATCGCTCAAAATCTTGTTTAATTTTTGTGAGCAGAGAGAGAAAATTTTCCCTATAGAGATGAACCAACGTTTTGGCAACATAAACTCAGAGATAAACGAAGCCAGAGTTCACAACCTTAAATGGTACGTTTTGGAGTTGAAGTGAGTCTTCATTTACCTCTCCATTAACAGTAAACATTTCACTTTTGCCCAGATTAAGTTTATATCCATTAAGTTATACCACAAATATCAGGATCAGACCGCAGAGCAATTGACAAAGGCTCCATTACAATGGCAAATAAGAGTGGACTTAAAGGGCAACCCTGCCTTGTAGAACGATGTAAGTGAAAATATTCAGAATTTGTGCCATTTGTCTTGACCAAGGCCTGAGGAGAAGCATATAACAACCTGACCCATGAAACAAATTTTTCCCCAAAACCAAATTTCCCCAAAGTGAAAAAAGATAATCCCACTCTACCCTGTCAAACGCCTTCTCCAATGCTATCAGAGCTTCTGGGAGAGCGATTGGAGGAGGATTATAAACCACATTAAACACCCTTCTAAGATTAAAAAAGGAGTGTCTGTTGCGAATAAACCCAGTCTGATTCAAAGATATAATTGAAGGTAGGACAACTTCTAAGCGTTTGGCTAGCAACTTGGACAATAATTTTAAGTCAGCATTCAACAGACTAATAAGACGATATGAACCGCATGAAAGTGGGTCTTTACCTTTCTTTAAAAGCAGAGAAATGCAAGCCTGGTTTAGGGTGTGGGGAAGTGTACCTGACCTGTACGACTCAGTAAACATCTCTAATAGGTGCAGGGCCAGCTGTTTCCAGAATGTTTTATAAAACTCGGCTGGGAAGCCATCCGGGCCCGGACTTTTACCACTTTGTAATGATTTAACTGTCGCCTCAAGTTCATTCGCTGTGATAGGACATTCCAGCTCCTCAGCTGCAACCCGATCCAAAGTGGGAGTGTTAAACCTATCAAAGAAGGAGATCATATCCGCAGAGGTATTACGACAATCAGATGAATACAGCAATTTATAGAATTCCATAAAAGTTTTATTAATTTCCAAAGGGTCAGATGTTACACCCCAGCCAGTTTCAATTTGAGGAATTAACTGAGATGCAGATATCTGACGTAGCCGATGGGCCAAACGTTTACTAGTCTATCTCCCTGTTCATAAAATTTACATCTTGAATGTAGTAAAAGTTCAGTAGTGTACTGTGACATAATAAAATCATATTCAGCTTGTAAAGTCATTCGCTCCTTATAAGTATCTGGCAGTTTTGAGACTGCATATAAAGAATCTAATTGTGCGATACGTTGGGATAGCTTGGCTAGCTTCTCTCTTCTAGATTTCCTCTGATGAGCCTTATAGGAAATAATCTCCCCCCTGATAAAAGCTTTCATTGTGTCCCACAACACAGAGGCTGTTATTTCTGGAGTTTTGTTAACCTGAAAAAAGAATTCTAATTGCTCAGAAACAAATTTAATAAAGTCTGTATCTAACAGTAAATGTGTATCTAGGCGCCATGGTGGTCTTGTATTAACAAACTTCTGAAAGTAAACATTCATAGAAATAGAGGCATCAATCAAATCATATTTACAGCCAGAAATGGAGGATAACAACTTGTTATCCACTAAAAAGAAGTAAATTCGTGTATAGGTACGGTGAATATGTGAGAAAAATTAGTATTCTCTTTTATCCGGATTAAAAAAACGCCAAGGATCAACAACATTAAACTCATTCATAAAGGCTTGAATCACTTTGGTCGATTTGGACAGAGCAGCCGAGGTTGAGGAAGAACGTTCTTAGGAAGGATTCAGCCAGCAGTTAAAGTCCCCTCCTAAGATTAAATCATACATGGACAGGGCCGGTAGCATTGAGAAAACCTGTCTAAAAAAGGACTCATCATCCCAGTTGGGTGAATAAACATTAGCAAGAGTCACCTTTACATCGAAAATGTGTCCCATGACAGCAATAAACCTGCCAGCAGAATCAGAGATTGTCTTGACATGGAGAAAAGTAATATCTCTATGTAGAAGAATAGCAACCCCTCTAGATTTACTTGAGGAATGGTATATTTTCCCGACCCAGCTCTTCTTCAGTCTAACACTATCTACCTCTTTAAGGTCCTTACAGTTTAAACTCACAAATCTAACATCCCCACCCACACTGGATAGTGTACTCTTAACCTGGGTCATTGACAGAAAAAGAATTCAGTATGTAACAAACAAAAAGAGATACACATCCACTCAATACATCGAAAAGTAGCATAGGTGCCAACCCATTATCCGGAAAAACTACATGGACTAACAACCCCCCCACATTTGAACAGAACACCCCATCTTCCTCCTAACCTAGCAGAAGCATCGAGACAATGATGCGTGCTACCTCACCCCAAGTTGAAAAAAATCGTTACCAGCAGCTTAACCATACTGCTAAATGACCTCAGGGAGTGTGAATATGGAATGTCCCAAATAAAAATAAATACATAAAGTAATAAACAGAAAAAGGTGCCATGGATTCTTTAAAAAAAAAAACTGGTTCAAAAGCACTACATTCTCCAAAGTCAGAAACGTCCTCATCAGCAGAGACTGACCTAAAGAAAAATAAAAATAGCACCAATATGCTCTGAGTGAAGCGGTGTAAAGTCCGGGAAGATGTACACCCTCTTCCCGTTGTGTAACAGAGGGGAGCTCTGTCCCATGCAGCGGAGAATAGCATTCCTCACTTGAAATTGTGTCACCCTGATGACCATCAGGCGTGGTGGTTCTTCCTCCTTTGGTTTAGCATGCAATGTGCGGTGGGCCCTGTCAACCCGGGCATCTCATCAAGTCCCAGCAAATCCATTAAAAGTTTGGCAATAAACTCTGTAGGTTGGGGACCCTCAGATCCCTCGGGCAGACCCACGAGTCAAATATTGTGCCATCTAGAGCGTGCCTCCAATTTTTCACATTTCTTACCCAGAGACTCCACTGTAGCAGATAGCTTAGCTATATTCAGCTGGATGCCAATTAGCTGGTCCGAGTGCTCATTAGCGGAGTGCTCCAGGTCACTAATAGTTCCACTTTGCAAGGAGACTTTTTCTTGCAGCGGTTTGAGAGCAGTTGCCACCTCCTTCTTAACCAGCTCCGATATGATTGACTTGAATTTAGCCACAATTTCCGTTCTTTGGTCGTCCATCATTACCTTAATGCTACGTAGCATCTCTTCATTAGCACCCGGCCTCTCAGGTGACACGGGCTCCGAGGGCTGGGGTTGCGGCCTGTTCCGACCGGACTTCGCAGACTCATTTTTCACCCGACAGCTCGACATTAATGCGGTTCTGACTCTCAAGATGCAGGTCTCCTAAAAAACGTTCAATCACCTTGAAGTTGCAGACAGTTGACAAACTTAGAATGACATTAAAACTATATTATAATCACATTCCCGAGGAGCGACCAAAAAACACGTCCTACATCGTTCGCATCCCCTAGTGGCCCCCCATTTTTTTTAAACCTTTAACTCTTTATATTACACTAGCCGTGTAGACCTTTACATATCCTATGGATACATTGACTCTACTGACAATATAGCGGTGGAGAAGCTGCTTTCACAACAAACAATGGGACGAGCCGGCATTTTCCACCCCATACCTGAGGAGCTGAGGAGGAGGCACTGAGGATGCAGAGCCGGAGCGAAGGTGAAGGCTAGGCTAGCGGCTAAGTGATGGAAGTACAAGCCCTCAGTTCCATCGATAGTTATGGGGAATGTGAACTGTCTGACCAACAAGACGGATGAGCTGGCTGCCCTTGTGAGGACGGACAGGACGTTCAGTTTCGTGTTCAACCTCACTTTTTGTAAAAAAAAAAAAACAATACTGGGGGAGCCACTCCAGCATGTCTTCAACCTGAGCCTGCAGCTGGGGAGGGTCCCAGTGCTCTGGAAGACTTCATGTCTCATCCCGGTTCCTAAGAAAAAACACCCCAGGGAGCCGGGTGACTTCAGACCAGTAGCACTGACATCACACATTATGAAGACCTTTGAACGGCTGCTGCTCCATGTCCTTAGACCCCAGGTCCACCATGCACAAGAGCCACTGCAGTTTGGATACCAGGAGAAGGTGGGCGTGGAGGATGCCATCCTCTATCTGCTCCATAGGGCGTATTCTCATCTGGACAAGGAGAGCGGCGCTGTGAGAATCGTGTTTTTTGATTTCTCCAGTGCCTTCAACACCATCCAGCCGCTCTTGCTGAGAGACAAGATGACAGAGATGAGGGTGGACCCACTCCTGGTGACATGGATTACGGACTACCTCACGGAGAGACCACAGTACGTCAGACTGAAGGGCTGCACGTCAGACACTGTGGTCAGCAGCACCGGAGCACCACAGGGGACCATGATCTCTCCTGTCCTTTTCACCGTGTACACATCCGACTTCCAGTACAACTCTGGGCTCGGCCACATGCAGAAATACTTGGTCGATACTGCGATAGTTGGCTGTATCAAGGATTGACCATCTGCAGCTGAACACCTTCAAGACCAAGGAGATGGTGGTGGACTTCAGAAGGAGGAAACCACATCTCCAACCTGTGTCCATGTCGATGTGGAGGTGATCAGGACCTATAAATATCTGGGGCTGCAGCTGGATGACAAGCTGGACTGGACAGCAAACATGGACACTCTCCACAGGAAAGGGTAGAGCCATCTGTACTTCCTGAGAAGGCTGGAGTCCTTCAACATCTGTAAAAAACTGCTGCAGATGTTTTACCAGTCTGTGGTGGCCAGTATCCTCTTTTATGCTGTGGTTTTCTGGGGAGGAAGCAGCAAGAAGAGAGATGCCGGTCGACTGGACAGACTGGTGAGGAGTGGTGGGCACAGAGCTGGACTTTCTGGTGACAGTGGCAGAAAGAAGGACCCTGGACAAACTGCTGTCCATACTGGACAACACCCACCACCCTCTGCACAACACCTTCACCAGGAGTGTGTTCAGTGGCAGACTGCTGTCCCAGTCCAGCTCCACCAACAGACTCAAAAACTCTTTCGTCCCCCATCAGACTGTACAACAGCTCTCAGTAAAGGCAGGGAGGACAATAGACAATGGACAATGGACAATTTCTACTTCCATTTGCACTGGTTACTGTAGCTACTGTTAATTTTATATATTATATTTATATATAATATTTTATATTTTATCTTTTATTTTATTTTGAATTTTATTCTTAAGGTTATGGTTTTTAATTTTAGCAACCAGGAGCAAACAGGAGCCAGAGAGGTGTTTCACTGTGTTTTATTTCAGCTCAGACACATTTTCTGGATCTAAATCGTGATCAGTTGTAGTTGAAGATCTTCCTCCTGATCCTCATCATCAGTCAGACTTTTTGTCGCTTGTTTTTTTGCGGCGCTGCTGCGATGAAGCTATCAGTGCCAAGCCATCATCGTAGCCACTCATGGTGGGCCGAGCCTTACAGCAGAGGTAGCAGAAGACGGCGGCGAGGACGACCGGGAAGCCGACCAGGAAGCAGCCGAGCAGCGGAGCCTGGCTGAACACCGGCTGGATGGAGAGAGGACAGAGAGGTCAGAGGTCAGAGGTCACGAGACAGGAAACAGAACTGATGATTATGGGACTTACCATCAGTGTTACTTTGGCGTCGTAAAAGAAGCGTCCGACACGCTGATCGAAGCTGTTTCCTCCCTGACACTGCAACACCAAACAAAGATTCACTCACAATGAAACACCTGTTCAATCTCCTCCATCCAGTCCGGACTCACCTGGATGCTGCCGTCCAGAACCCCATTTAAGAAATCCAGCAGGTGGCGCTCTGTCCCTATGGCGCCCAGTGGCAGGAAGTAGCCGTCATTGGACAGATTAACCACAATGAAGGAGGGCACGGTGACCTCACTGACAACAACAAACCAATCAGAAAGAGATCAATAAACCCATGATCAACTTGATCTGGGCTACCTTCACTGTCTCTACAGATGTTAAGGACTACAGATGTTTTGTTTTTGGTTTTTGGGGGTTTTTTTTGGCTTTTATTGCCTTTATTATAGTGACAGCTGAAGACAGACGGGAAAGGGGGCAGAGAGAGGGGATGACACGCAGCAAACGGCTGCAGGTTGGACTCGAACCCTGGGCCGCTGCAGCAAGGACTCAGCTTCGGTACATGGGTTGCCAGCTCTACCCAGTGAGCTAACCAGGCACCCAGGACTACAGATGTTAAGGACTGCAGATGTTAAATAATACAGATTTTAAGGACTACAGATGTTAAGGACTACAGATGTTAAGGACTACAGATGTTAAAGACTACAGATGTTAAAGAATACAGATGTTAAGGACTACAGATGTTAAAGAATACAGATGTTAAGGACTAAAGATGTTAAAGAATACAGATGTTTAGGACTACAAATGTTAAAGAATACAGATGTTAAGGACTACAGATGTTAAAGAATACAGATGTTAAGGACTACAGATGTTAAAGAATACAGATGTTTAGGACTACAGATGTTAAAGAATACAGATGTTAAGGACTACAGATGTTAAAGAATACAGATGTTAAGGACTACAGATGTTAAAGAATACAGATGTTAAGGACTACAGATGTTAAAGAATACAGATGTTTAGGACTACAGATGTTAAAGAATACAGATGTTAAGGACTACAGATGTTAAAGAATACAGATGTTAAGGACTACAGATGTTAAAGAATAAAGATGTTTAGGACTACAGATGTTAAAGAATACAGATGTTAAGGACTACAGATGTTAAAGAATACAGATGCTTAGGACTACAGATGTTAAAGAATACAGATGTTAAGGACTACAGATGTTAAAGAATACAGATGTTTAGGACTACAGATGTTAAAGAATACAGATGTTAAGGACTACAGATGTTAAAGAATACAGATGTTTAGGACTACAGATGTTAAAGAATACAGATGTTTAGGACTACAGATGTTAAAGAATACAGATGTTTAGGACTACAAATGTTAAAGAAGACAGATGATAAGGACTACAGATGTTAAAGAATACAGATGTTAAGGACTACAGATGTTTTTATCACTAAATTTAAAAACAAACTCACCCCATCACAAGTCCATTAATGTAGTCAGTCCCCTCCATGAAACCAAAGTAGAAGTTTCTGACAGACGGACAGACAGACAGTTCAACGCTTTCCTGTTCTTTCACAATAAAAGCTGTGGATCTTAGGGTCCTGTGAGACTCACCTGCTGTAGATCTCTCTGTAGTCTGCAGCCACTTTCTCCACAAGACTTTTATACCTGAATAGGTAACAGGAAATGCGTCACAGATGATGTCACAGTGTTTATTTAGCTGTCACTGGATGGATGTTGGACGCAGTCTTACCTCAGACTTTCCTCACACAGACTCCTCTCCCCCACCAGTGCCAAAAGCACCAGTTTACCTACAGGAGAGAAGCAGAGTCGTCACATGAACTAATCGTCAGCCTCCTCACCTGAAGCTGCACTTCCTCTAACCACCACCAGATGGTGATGTGATCAAACGGAAAACCCCCACTTGAACATACGTTATTCAATTCAGTTTTATTTGTTTAGCATCGATTCATAACAGATAACAGTTATCTCAGGACACTTAGGTCTAGACCGAACTCTTTATAACATTACTTACAGAGACCCAACAGTACCACCATGAGCAAGACATTGGAGACAGCGGCAAGGAAAGGACTGTCTGTTTGTCTGTCTGGTCAGTTTATCATCATTACAGTTTAAATCTAAAATGTATAAATAAGTAAAAATGCAGATGTTTACTGTTGTGGATCACTGATCTCACCATCTCCTGCCTCAACCACTCAACCCAACGTCTATTTAACATTAGCTGTTTTAATGGAAACTCCTGAGGAGAACATTCATCAAACTGTCGACAGAAGAAAGAAAATGGCTGAATAGGAAAACAAAGCCCCTCCTGTCCGACTGACGGGCTCTTTCACAATAAAAGTTCAGTTTGTGGGAGCCCTGTGTATCCGAGGCTGTGCCATCGCAGTGTACTGATGGTGTTACCTGAGTCACCCATGGCGTACAGAGTGTAGCTGTCGATCTTCAGGTAGTTGGGGAAACGTTCTCTGTTGATCCACGACTTCAGATCACCGTCACGTTCCTCTGAAACACAAATAATAGATTCCATTCATTGTTTGATTACCATTACTCATTATTAATCATTAATCATGTAATTACCAGACTGATATTGATTATTATCTGAACTTGGACTCAAATAGCTTAACAATAAGTCACATTCAGCTGTCTGACTGTCTCATCTGGAGGACCCTGAATGTGACATAAGTTCTACCTGTTGACAGGTATCAGGTTCCAGTCTCACCATTGAAGGTGAAGTAGGTTCCCTCTTTAAAAACCACCACAGCCGGCAGAGAGGGGACGGACACGGCCTGGAGACACAACACATCATGAGTACGGGTCTATAGGTAGACCTGCTGTCTTCTACTGTCCTCTACTGTCTTCTACTGTCCTCTATTGTCCTCATCTCTCTTCTACTGATCTTTACTGTCCTCTATGTCCTCATCTCTCTTCTACTGTCCTCTACTGTCTTCTACTGTCCTCTACTGTCCTCATCTCTCCCTCTACTGTCCTCTACTGTCTTCTACTGTCCTCTATTGTCCTCATCTCTCTTCTACTGATCTTTACTGTCCTCTATTGTCCTCATCTCTCTTCTACTGATCTTTACTGTCCTCTATTGTCCTCATCTCTCTTCTACTGATCTTTACTGTCCTCTATGTCCTCATCTCTCTTCTACTGTCCTCTACTGTCTTCTACTGTCCTCTATTGTCCTCATCTCTCTTCTACTGATCTTTACTGTCCTCTATGTCCTCATCTCTCTTCTACTGTCTTCTACTGTGTTTAAACCTTCGGCAGGACGTCTCTAGAAGCAGAGAAGAAGTATGTGTGGACAATCAGCTCCTCAGCTACTGATGTGTAGTTTCCCTGAAAACACACCAAAGGTCAGAGGTCAGCAGTGTGTGTGTGTGTGTGTGTGTGTGTATGTCTCAGAGGTCAGCAGTGGGTGTGTGTGTCTGTCTGTGTGTGTGTGTGTGTGTGTGTGTGTGTGTGTCTGTCTGTCTGTCTGTCTGTCTGTCTGTGTGTGCATGTGCGTGTGTGTGTCTGTCTGTCTGTCTGTCTGTCTGTGTGTGTGTGTGTGTGTGTGTGTGCATGTGCGTGTGTGTGTGTGTGTGTGTGTCTGTCTGTCTGTCTGTCTGTGTGTGCGTATGTGTCTGTCTGTGTGTGTCTGTGTGTCTGTCTGTGTGTGTCTGTCTGTCTGTCTGTCTGTCTGTCTGTGTCTGTCTGTCTGTGTGTGTGTGTGTGCGTACGTACGTGTCTGTGTGTCTGTCTGTGCGTGTGCGTGTGTGTCTGTGTCTGTGTGTGTGTGTGTGTGTGTGTGTGTGTGTGTGTGCGCGTACCTTCAGAGGTGATGTTGCTCCAATATAAACAAACAGGACATCATGGCGGTTCATGGCGTGTTGGAAGAGCTGCAGACTGCTCAGAGATCGAACCAATGGCCTGAACGACACAACATACATTAATTATATAGATAACTTACATTAATTATATACACAACATACATTAATTATATAGATAACATACATTAATTATATACACAACATTATGATTATTCAATAATAATATAAATGGAATAATAACGTTTAAATAATAAAGTTTGTTTACTCACCCCGCAACTCGATTAGCAAAGTCCAGGATTCCATCTTTGGTTCTCGGTCCTACATAATTATATTTCACATCTTTCCTCCACCTGAAAACATGTTCAGAAACCTTCAGATGACTTTAAAATAAGCTTTAAATAAGTGATGTAACAGTGATGTCACAGTGGCATTCTCTCTTTTACTGTAAATATTCATTATTTGAACAGTTTGAGGCCAAAACACAAAGTGATACAGACCCATTAGTGTTATTATTATTATTGTTAAGTTACAGTAAAAGTTCTTTGAGAACAATAATAAAATAATAATAATATGAACACTGTTCTGGTTCTGTGTTTCTATAAAGTTTGAACGGACTCACATGAGGATTGCTGGGTAACTTCTGACCCTGAACTCTTTGGCTAATCCTGTAGAAAGAGACACAACATCAGCAGTGACCTCTGACCTCTGACCTGCTCCGTCAGTCTCCATGTTTCCATGGAAACAAGCAAACAGGTGGCAAACAAAACAGGAAATTAACCAGGTGACACCTGACACATCAGTGCAAACATGTGTCTGTACAATGATATAGTTCTGTTATTGTAATAAATATGTTATTATTATATTAATATATTATATTAATTTATTTTGGCGGTGTCACTGACCAGTGTTGGCGGTGGCGTCTGATTTGCCGACGTTGACCGGAGAGCCGAGACTCCTGAGTTCTGATCCGATCTGATGCCAAACAGGATCCAGCTGTTTACAAAACGAACACCAGGGGGCGTAAAACTGCACGCAGACCAAACACAACACAACACCGTCACACAGACTCCACTGCTACACCTTCACCATCAGCTTATCATCAGAGCCTGTAATCAATAATGCTGATCACAATCAATCAATGCATTCTGTAAACAAAGGAGAACAAAACAAACTTTAATGAGCCAGATGTCGTCGGCTTGTCTCGTCTTCATGAAGCTGGTGAACACAAACAGTTGATTATTGATTACATTGATCAGAATGTATTTCATATTTAATGATGTCACAAGAAGTATCAATACAATCAATCACTTCATTTGTTCAATAAATCAATCTTTATTAATTTATTTATGAATAAAACTGCAGTTTGTACTCACTCATCATCCAACTCCTCCACAAAGGCAGAAACACACACTGACAGAGCCAGCAGCACTGAAACAAACAAACAACAGTAAACAACAAACACACACTGACAGAGCCAGCAGCACTGAAACAAACAAACAACAGCAAACAACAAACACAATGACAGAGCCAGCAGCACTGAAACAAACAAACAACAGTAAACAACAAACACACACTGACAGAGCCAGCAGCACTGAAACAAACAAACAACAGTAAACAACAAACACACACTGACAGAGCCAGCAGCACTGAAACAAACAAAAAATAAAAAAACAAGCAGCAGCACTGAAACAAACAAACAAACAAATAACAGTAAACAACAAACACACTGACAGAGCCAGCAGCACTGAAACAAACAAACAAACAAACAAACAAACAAACAAACAAACAACAGTAAACAACAAACACACTGACAGAGCAAGCAGCACTGAAACAAACAACACTAAACAACAAACACACTGACAGAGCCAGCAGCACTGAAACAAACAAACAAACAAACAAACAAACAACAGTAAACAACAAACACGCTGACAGAGCAAGCAGCACTGAAACAAACAACACTAAACAACAAACACACTGACAGAGCCAGCAGCACTGAAACAAACAAACAAACAAACAAACAACAAACACACTGACAGAGCCAGCGGCACTGAAACAAACAACAGTAAACAACAAACACACACTGACAGAGCCAGCAGCACTGAAACAAACAAACAACAGCAAACAACAAACACACACTGACAGAGCCAGCAGCACTGAAACAAACAAACAAACAAACAAACAACAGTAAACAACAAACACACACTGACAGAGCCAGCAGCACTGAAACAAACAAACAACAGTAAACAACAAACACACACTGACGGAGCCAGCAGCACTGAAACAAACAAACAACAGTAAAGAACAAACACACTGACAGAGCCAGCAGCACTGAAACAAACAAACAAACAACAGTAAACAACAAACACACACTGACAGAGCCAGCAGCACTGAAACAAACAAACAACAGTAAACAACAAACACACTGACAGAGCCAGCAGCACTGAAACAAACAACAGTAAACAACAAACACACACTGACAGAGCCAGCAGCACTGAAACAAACAACAGTAAACAACAAACACACTGACAGAGCCAGCAGCACTGAAACAAACAAACAAACAAACAAACAAACAACAGTAAACAACAAACAAACACTGACAGAGCCAGCAGCACTGAAACAAACAACAGTAAACAACAAACACACTGACAGAGCCAGCAGCACTGAAACAAACAAACAACAGTAAACAACAAACACACTGACAGAGCCAGCAGCACTGAAACAAACAACAGTAAACAACAAACACACTGACAGAGCCAGCAGCACTGAAACAAACAAACAAACAAACAACAGTAAACAACAAACAAACACTGACAGAGCCAGCAGCACTGAAACAAACAACAGTAAACAAACGAATGAACAAATTAACACATAAATAAACAAGTAAATTGATAAATCATTAGTAAATTGATAAATAAATTGATAAACAAATAGATAAATAAATAGTAGATAAATTGATAAATAAATTGATAAATAAAAGATAAATTGATAAATAAATAAATAGATGAATGTATAAATAAATTGATAAATAAATAATAGATAAATAAATAGTAGATAAATTGATAAATAAATTGATAAATAAAAGATAAATTGATAAATAAATAAATAGATGAATGTATAAATAAATTGATAAATAAATAATAGATAAATAAATAGTAGATAAATTGATAAATAAATGGATTAATGAATAACAGATAAATTGATAAATAAATAAATGGATAAATAAATAGATAAATAAATAGTAGATACATTGATAAATAAATTGATAAATAAATAATAGATAAATTGATAAATAAATTGATAAATAAATAATAGATAAATTGATAAATAAATAAATAAATAAATAGATGAATGGATAAATAAATGGATAAATAAATAATAGATAAATAGATAAATAAATAGATAAATTGATAAATAAATGGATAAATGAATAATAGATAAATTGATAAATAAATGGATAAATAAATAAATGGATAAATAAATAAATAGATAAATAAATAGTAGATAAATTTATAAATAAATAATAGATAAATTGATAAATAAATTGATAAATAAATAATAGATAAATTGATAAATTGTTAAATAAATAAATAGATGAATGGATAAATAAATGGATAAATAAATAAACTGATAAATAAATACATTGATAAATAAATGGATAAATTGATAAATACATGGATAAATAAATAAATTGATAAATAAATTGATAAATAAATTGATAAATAAAGGTTACAAACAACTTCCACAAGCTCCTCTCTTGTGGAACCAGCTTCCAGTTGTGGTTCAGGAGGCAGACACCCTCTCCACATTCAAGAGTAGGCTTAAGACATTCCTCTTTGATAAAGCTTATAGTTAGGGCTGGATCAGGTGAGTCCTGAACCATCCCTTAGTTATGCTGCTATAGGCCTAGACTATCGGGGGATTTCCCATGGTGCACTGGGCTCCTTTCTTCCTCTCTCTTTCTGCACTCATTCATGTCCCATTAATGCATGTTACTAACTTCACTTCTTCCCCGGAGTTCTTGTGCTTTCTCATCTCGCAGGTTCTCATGGATCCTGGTGGAGCCTCCTGCCATGGTCCTACTAGATTGCCATTGACAATACTGTTGTTGCTGTGCACCTGTCTGTCTGTCTGTCTCTCTGTCTGTCTGTCTGTCTCTCTCTCTCACCCCAACTGGTCGAGACAGACGACCACCCACCTAGAGCCGGAGGATCTGTCCTAGGTTTCTGCCTTTTAACAGGCAGTTTTTCCTTGCCCTTGTCTCCAAGGTCTTGCTCATGGTGGTACTGTTGGGTCTCTGTAATTAATGTTAAAGAGTTCGGTCTAGACCTGCTCTATTTGAAAAGTTTCCTGAGATAACTTCTGTTATGAATTGGTGCTATACAAATAAAATTGAATTGAATTGAAATGAACTGTAATGGTTCCATCTGCAGACTGAACTGAATAAACAACATTAAGATCATAATTCAACAACCTCCTTCCTTATAATCAATAATCAGTAATTAGGTCATTGATTAGTGTTCCAGTAGTTGTTGAATATCAGAATAATAATAATATAAATATTCATATTTGCCTCAGCTAGCAAAGCATTCTGGGAAATGTCTTTCGGGACTCTGCCAGTAGGTCTCTCTGAATAAACAACCAGAGCGGTGATTGGCTTATTGATTATAGATTAAATCTAACAAAGGACAGGAAGCTGCTCATTGTCCTGTCAGATTAAAGCGCTCGGACACAGACGTCTTAATCCCGCAGCAACAGACTCACGTGTGTCTCAGATTAAAGAATTCAGCAGGAATAAATATCTATCTATCTATCTATCTATCTATCTATCTATCTATCTATCTATCTATCTATCTATCTATCTATCTAAAAGCTCAAACTGCTCAATACAAAGGTCCATTTATAAATGTGCCGACTCAGAGTTCATTCAGGCCTTCGTGGTTCTGAGATTCAATCATCGTCCAGCCTCAGAGTTATCATTATCCCCCGTTAGTCTGCAGCTCCAGCAGCCTCTGCACTGATGAGTCTGTGCCTCTTTTAAAATGAATGAAACAATGAGTGGAGTTTGGTGTTTGGAGTTTGAAGACCTACCTGAGAGCAGGACGGCGTTCCTCCAGTCCGACATGTTGACTGATGGAGAAGCTGCAGCGTGGAGGGATTAACGGAGCTAATCTGCTAACTGCTAACAGAATGAACACACCCTAATCTGTGGGATTAACATGTTACATTCAACCCACTGAAACTTTATTGACAACAACAATACAGACAGAGTCTACAGCAATACATGTTCAGTGAAGAAGAATCAACGCTGATGTTTATCAGCCGAGTCAGGACGAAGGGAGGAGGCAGAGAACGATAAAAGAGGATAGAAAAGGGTATCAAAGGAAACAAGGTGTTAAAGGAATAAATCAGCAGAGGTTTACCCTCCGCTGCAGCGCCCCCATCTGGTGAGTCAGAGTCTGGTCCCACAGCAGACACACTGCCAGCTGTCGCTCCCCTCTGCCCGCTCTGCTGACCGAGGAGGGCGGGTCCGGGTCCGTCATTGTCCGTGTTGTCTGTGTCCGCAGTGATGTCAGTGGACACCTGTCGGATGAAGGTCGTCGACCTGATGCTGGATCCATCAGCTTCACTTTCCGTCCAGCAGGACTAACCGTCAGACACTGAGGACAGCCGGCTCTTCCTCCGGCAGCCGGTGGCCCTGATGCCGGCACTGAGTCGGACAGTTAGCTGAAAGATGGTCCTTCTTCTGCAGCCGCAGCGGGGGGCGGGGCAGCCAATGGCAGCGCGGTACTTTGGGTGTGTGATGGCGTAGATGATGGGGTTGTGGATGGTGGAGGCCTTGGCAATATGTGACTGCAGAGTGACAACAAGATCACTCCCAGAGCCGCTGGATGGCGGCTGTATTGGCCCTCAGCCTGTTGGCCCTCAGTGTATTGGCCCTCAGTGTATTGGCCCTCAGCCTGTTGGCCCTCAGTGTGTTGGCCCTCAGTCTGTTGGCCCTCAGTGTATTGGCCCTCAGTCTGTTGGCCCTCAGTGTATTGGCCCTCAGTCTGTTGGCCCTCAGCCTGTTGGCCCTCAGCCTGTTGGCCCTCAGTGTATTGGCCCTCAGCCTGTTGGCCCTCAGTGTATTGGCCCTCAGTCTGTTGGCCCTCAGTCTGTTGGCCCTCAGCCTGTTGGCCCTCAGTGTATTGGCCCTCAGTCTGTTGGCCCTCAGCCTGTTGGCCCTCAGCCTGTTGGCCCTCAGTCTGTTGGCCCTCAGTCTGTTGGCCCTCAGTGTATTGGCCCTCAGTGTATTGGCCCCCCTGTTGGCCCTCAGCCTGTTGGCCCTCAGTCTGTTGGCCCTCAGCCTGTTGGCCCTCAGTGTATTGGCCCTCAGCCTGTTGGCCCTCAGTCTGTTGGCCCTCAGTCTGTTGGCCCTCAGTGTATTGGCCCTCAGCCTGTTGGCCCCAGTATGGCCCTCAGCCTGTTGGCCCTCAGCCTCCCTCAGTCTGTGGCCCTCAGTGTATTGGCCCTCAGTCTGTTGGCCCTCAGTCTGTTGGCCCTCAGTGTATTGGCCCTCAGTGTATTGGCCCTCAGCCTGTTGGCCCTCAGTCTGTTGGCCCTCAGTCTGTTGGCCCTCAGCCTGTTGGCCCTCAGTGTATTGGCCCCAGCCTGTGGCCCTCAGTCTGTTGGCCCTCAGTCTGTTGGCCCTCAGTGTATTGGCCCTCAGTCTGTTGGCCCTCAGTCTGTTGGCCCTCAGTGTATTGGCCCTCAGCCTGTTGGCCCTCAGCCTGTTGGCCCTCAGTCTGTTGGCCCTCAGTGTATTGGCCCTCAGTGTGTTGGCCCTCAGCGTATTGGCCCTCAGTCTGTTGGCCCTCAGTCTGTTGGCCCTCAGCCTGTTGGCCCTCAGTGTATTGGCCCTCAGCCTGTTGGCCCTCAGTCTGTTGGCCCTCAGTGTATTGGCCCTCAGCCTGTTGGCCCTCAGCCTGTTGGCCCTCAGTGTATTGGCCCTCAGCCTGTTGGCCCTCAGCCTGTTGGCCCTCAGTCTGTTGGCCCTCAGTGTATTGGCCCTCAGTCTGTTGGCCCTCAGTGTATTGGCCCTCAGTCTGTTGGCCCTCAGTCTGTTGGCCCTCAGTGTATTGGCCCTCAGTCTGTTGGCCCTCAGCCTGTTGGCCCTCAGTGTATTGGCCCTCAGTCTGTTGGCCCTCAGTCTGTTGGCCCTCAGCCTGTTGGCCCTCAGGATAAAACATTCTGATTAAAAATGTGAATCTTTGATTTTAGTTTATATTCTAAACTAAAAATGCATTTTATCGTCTTAAAAACATTTTTTTCTTACATTAGTTTCTCTCTGTGGCCAATACAGACATTATATTGATTATGTTTATTATTGTATTTATTGATTACATTTGCTATTGATTATGTTTATTATTGTATTTATTGAATACATTTTATATTGATTATTTTATTTATTACTGTATTTATTGTTTACATTTTATGTTTATTATTTTATTTATTGATTACATTTTATATTGATTATTATTGTATTTATTGATTACATTTTATATTGATTGTTTATTATTGTATTTATTGATTACATTTTATATTGATCATTATTTTTATTATTGTATTGGTTAATTTTATATTATTGTTTATTATTGTATTTATTGATTACATTTTATATTGATTATTATATTTATTATTTTATTTATTGATTACATTTTATATTGATCATTATTTTATTATTGTGGTTAATTTTATATTATTGTTTATTAATTTATTGATTACATTTTAAATTGATTATTATGTTTATTATTGTATTTATTGATTACATTTTATATTGATTATTATATTTATTATTTTATTTATTGATTACATTTTAAATTGATTATTATTGTATTTATTGATTACATTTTATATTGATTGTTTATTATTGTATTTATTGATTAATTTTATATTGATTATAATTGTATTTATTGATTACATTTTGTATTGATTATGTTTATTATTGTATTTATTGATTAATTTTATATTGATTATTATTGTATTTATTGATTAATTTTATATTGATTATTATTGTATTTATTGATTACATTTTGTATTGATTATGTTTATTATTGTATTTATTGATTAATTTTATATTGATTATTATTGTATTTATTGATTACATTTTATATTGATTATGTTCATTATTATAGTGATTATTCTATGTACTTATAATTATATATTACTGTATAATGACAGTTTTAACTGAATAAAAAACAAAAGGTTAGTTTTTATATTTATTAATTAATTAAAATCCATCCATAAAACGAAAAACATTGTGATATCATCAAACTGTAGTCCAATCAACAGTGAGGTCAGAGCACGGCATGCTGGGAGGGCGTGTGGTGTCTGCGGACGTGTCTCAGCAGCAGCTGGCGGTCTGGACTCGAGTACTCGCACTGTTGGCATGGAAACGCCTCGCCAGTGTGATGACGGCGAGCGTGGAGGTCCAAACTCTTCTTCTGGATACTGAGAGACAACAACAAGATGTTACTATGGCAACCACTGAGCATGCCCACTCTCAGCTGTGTTACCTGTGTAACAGTGCAGTGGAGAGCTGACAGGTGTGTATGTCAGCTGTGTTACCTGCTGTAGTCGCAGTGTGTACACCTGTAGGGTTTCTCCTGACTGTGGGTCCTGCAGTGTCGCAGTAGGGAGCTGCGGTCTATAGAAGCATACGGACACTCAGGACACCTGTACGGCTTCTCACCTGAAAACACACACACAGTCAGTCTGACACTCACCTCACAGTACACACAGGTAGAACGGGGGTGTGTGTGATACCTGTGTGTGTTCTCAGGTGTTGCAGCAGTGAGGCCTTCAGTCTGCTGCTGTAGGAGCAGTGTGGACAGCTGAAGGGTTTCTCTCCTCCATGGACTCCCAGGTGACGCCTCAGAGTCAGTTTGGTAGAGAACTTCCTGAACAGAAACACCAATCAGAGCCCTGCTACCTGTCCTCTCCTGTGATTAGCCAGTTTATGAAAGTGTCCTCTGACACAGTGCAATAACATGTTGAGTGAGGGATTGTGGGTAATGTAGTTACCTATGACACAGAGAGCAACAGAAACCCGTCTCCTCGCCCTCCTTCTCTTCTTCTTCTTCTGTTTTCTTTCTTCTGGTTTTCTTCTTCTTCTCTGTGCTGCTCTGCAGTGAACCCGTCTGACTGGGAACCAACACGCACAAATACTGGTTTCGGATTGGCTGGCAGGAGACAGCTGGATCATCAACACTTAAATAACTGAGGATGCTGTTTGTTGGCTACTGATCAGTCTGTCCCTCAGGTTCTGTCCCTCAGGTTCTATCCCTCAGGTTCTGTCCCTCAGGTTCTATCCCTCAGGTTCTATCCCTCAGGTTCTATCCCTCAGGTTCTGTCCCTCAGGTTCTATCCCTCAGGTTCTATCCCTCAGGTTCTGTCCCTCAGGTTCTGTCCCTCAGGTTCTATCCCTCAGGTTCTGTCCCTCAGGTTCTATCCCTCAGGTTCTGTCCCTCAGGTTCTATCCCTCAGGTTCTGTCCCTCAGGTTCTGTCCCTCAGGTTCTGTCCCTCAGGTTCTATCCCTCAGGTTCTGTCCCTCAGGTTCTGTCCCTCAGGTTCTATCCCTCAGGTTCTGTCCCTCAGGTTCTATCCCTCAGGTTCTATCCCTCAGGTTCTGTCCCTCAGGTTCTGTCCCTCAGGTTCTGTCCCTCAGGTTCTATCCCTCAGGTTCTGTCCCTCAGGTTCTGTCCCTCAGGTTCTATCCCTCAGGTTCTGTCCCTCAGGTTCTGTCCCTCAGGTTCTATCCCTCAGGTTCTGTCCCTCAGGTTCTATCCCTCAGGTTCTGTCCCTCAGGTTCTGTCCCTCAGGTTCTATCCCTCAGGTTCTATCCCTCAGGTTCTGTCCCTCAGGTTCTGTCCCTCAGGTTCTATCCCTCAGGTTCTGTCGCCCGCTAACGGCAGATACAGTTAGCAGCAGTTAATTAGCAGTTAGCTACATTAGCTTTCAGTAAAATCCCTGAATACAGTCAGAAAGTTGAGCTAGAACTTATTTAAATTTCTGGTTCTAATTTATGTAAATTAGGTAGTTGCTGAGTCACCATGTATATGGATCAATATGCACACATTTCTTCACTGTTATTACATTATTATTACACATTTTTTAACGTAGAAAGTTTAATTAAGACATTACTGCTTCAATTCACATTTTTGATCACCTTCAGAATTTCTGAAAATATTCCACGTTTTCTGACGATTTCCCCCCATTTATCAATATCAATATCAGTAAGTGCTGTCAAACGATTAGAATATTTAATCGCATTAATGTCATAGTTAACTCGCAATTAATCGCACATTTTTATCTATTCTAAATGTCCCTTGATTTCTGTCCCATTATTTTTTCTCATTTTAATGCTCTTATCAACATGGAAAAGTGGATCGGCTTGCTTTGTGCAAATGTTGTTTTCAATAAAAACAACATTGGCATATACTGTAGTGTTCAATTTCACACTAACATTCTCACTTGGAGCAAATAATCTCTCACACAATGTAACACTGTCCATCAATAAAAGGGTAAAGGTACTTTGTCACCCAAACAGCCCCTTCAACAGCCCTTTCTAAGGGATCAAAACAGGGCGATACAAAATAAAATTACAAAGTGCACATGTAAGGTAAACTAGGACTCTATAGTGCAGTTAAACCATGGCTTAATACTTTTCTCAAGTTTGCTTTGAACATAGCAGTTTATTCAGCAGAGGCTCAACCCAGCCTCTTATTTCAGAAAGAATGAACAGTAACGGTTACCAATAAAAGGAAAGCCTACTACTTCTTTGCTTTGAGCCGGTTCTTCAAACAGACAAGCCTGTTGACATTTTCAGACAACAAGGAATCCATCCATTTCGGCGTCTCGCGCTCGCCATCCACTCAAAACGTAACGTCTACTACTCTTAAACAAGTGTGTGCGGCGTGCCTGTTGTTCTGTTTCCGGTCTAGATAGATCCGGTGTGGTGTTGTAGTTTTTCTAACGTTACTAGTTGTTGCAACAGCATGTGAAACAAACTACAAAGTGTGCTAGGAGTTAATCTCGAGATAAAAAAATGTACGCTGTTAAAATGGGTTTGTGTTAACGCCGTTAATAACGCGTTAAACTGACAGCACTAACATCAATATCAATATCAACTTAACTACTCATTCATACTTTCAGCTAGAACCTCCATTCAAACTCTATTATAAGGAAGTTAGCATTAATAATATTATATAATATATTTTCTAATTAATAAAACAATGTTACAATTACACAATATAAACAATACAATTATTGATATGTTTACTTGATAATATTCAGATATTGATTTGAGGACACTGTCCTACCTGTCTGTGCAGTCCTTCCCTCCTGCTCGTGCAATCAGCCGGCTCCTCCATCCGTCTGGAGGAAACATTCAATAAAGTTTATTTGTATAACAGAAGAGAAGAGCAGACTGTACTGCTGTTATCGATTATTGAATGATTGAAGGTGCTCTAACCTGTGTGGTTGCTGTGGCGACGCTGATCACAGCCCTTGTGTTTCTGTTGGTGAAGGTTTCGCGAGGCGGCGCTCCTGAAAGTCCTCAGACAGACCGGACAGCTAAACAGCCTCACCTCCTCCTCCTGGTCCTCCCTCTTCCTCCTCCTCCTCCTCCTGCAGTGGCTCCTCCAATGAGGCTCCAGCTCCTCCCAACTGTCCACCGTCCAGTCGCAGCAGACGCAGCTGAAGCCGCCAGCCGTCCGGTGAGACTGTACGTGGACGTCCAGCATCCGCCTGGACGGCAGCGCCAGAGGACACAGGAGACACGGCAGCCTCCGTCTCCTACAGGGGGATGTCCTCACCTCGCTCCTCTTCAGGCTGCCGGGCTCAGGAGGAGCAGGAGGAGCAGGAGGAGCAGGAGGAGCAGGAGGAGCTTTGGCAGCTGAGATGCGACACAGTCCCAGAGTCATGAGGTGAGCGGACTGCGCCATCTCCTCCTGGGTGGAGGGGGGTTCGATGGAGAGATCCACTGAACCGCCCTTCAGAGGGAAGATGGAGGACTCCTCCTCGAACAGAGTGCTGACCTGCACACACCACACGAGGACAACTGAGTATCCCAGCATGATTTCATCGCTGTATCAGGTGTGGGTGTATAAACAGGAAGGAAGTGCTAGTAAACCCGCCCACTGCTTGATTTCATTGGCTGTCTGGTCCAAATGTAACAGTGACTGAAGGACTGATTAGTGTGATGGACAGTTTCCCGCTCTACAGAAACACTAGAGGACTGAACCTGCTGCTGTCCTCCATCAGCCGGCAGGACACACACTCTGTGCTGCATTGTGGGGTTTTATATCTCTTACTTCCTCTGACTGATAAACTAATAATGTATTATATAAACTAATAATATATAATATAAACTAATGTATTATATAAACTAATAATATATTATATAAACTAATAATATATAATATAAACTAATGTATTATATAAACTAATAATGTATAATATAAACTAATAATGTATAATATAAACTAATAATGTATTATATAAACTAATAATATATAATATAAACTAATGTATTATATAAACTAATAATATATTATATAAACTAATGTATTATATAAACTAATAATGTATTATATAAACTAATAATATATGATATAAACTAATAATGTATTATTTAAACTAATAATATATAATATAAACTAATAACGTATTATATAAACTAATAATATATTATATAAACTAATATAAACTAATAATGTATAATATAAACTAATAATGTATTATATAAACTAATATAAACTAAAAATATATATAATAAACTAATATAAACTAATAATATATAATATAAACTAATAATATATTATATAAACTAACAATATATTATATAAACCAACAATGTATTATATAAACTAATAATATATAATATAAACTAATAATGTATTATATAAACTAATAATATATAATATAAACTAATAATGTATTATATAAACTAATAATATATAATATAAACTAATAATGTATTATATAAACTAATATATAATATAAACTAATAATATATTATAATATATAATATACTAACTAATATATTATATAAACTAATAATGTATTATATAAACTAATAATATATTATATAAACTAATAATAAATTAATAATATATTATATAAATTAACTAATATATTATATAAACTAATAATGTATTATATAAACTAATAATAAACTATATAAACATAATAAAAATTAATAATATATTATTTAAACTAATAATATATTATATAAACTAATAATAAATTATATAAACTAATAAAAACTGATAATATATTATATAAACTAATAATATATTATATAAACTAATAATGTATTATATAAACTAATATAAACTAATAATATATTATATAAATTAATAATATATTATATAAACTAATAATGTATTATATAAACTAATAATATATTATATAAACTAATAATGTATTATATAAACTAATATAAACTAATAATGTATTATATAAACTAATAATGTATTATATAAACTAATATAAACTAATAATATATTATATAAACTAACAATATATTATATAAACCAATAATATAAACTAATAATATATAATATAAACTAACAATATATTATATAAACTAATAATATATTAAATAAACTAATATATAAACTAATAATGTATTATATCAACTAATATAAACTAATAATATATTATATAAACTAATGTATAATATAAACTTATAATATATAATAATTTATAATATAAACTAATAATATATTATATAAACCAATAATATAAACTAATAATATATAATAATATATAATATAAACTAATAATATATTATATAAACCAATAATATAAACTAATAACATATTATAATATATTATATAAACTAATAATAACTATAGTATATATATATAATATAAAGTATATAATACATAATATAAACTAATAATATATAATATATATAATATAGATAATATAAGGGGGGTGATTTTTGAATGGAGTCTGGTGATATTGAGGTTACTAGGTGACAAACAGCTGCTGCTGATCTCAGATCAGATCCAGTCAGACAGAGTCTGTGTTCTTACAGGACGTCAGTGAGGAGGAGCTGCTTCACTGTGGACCAGGACTCATTAGAGTTTAAGACCTATGTGGTCTAATGAGTCCCAGTCCACCTGAGGAAGTGGTCTGATCACAGTGAGTCTCTGTGGTGGTTTACACTGTAGACAGACTGGTTCAGACCAGCTGCAAACACACTCATAGTGTGTGTGTGTGTGTGTGTGTGTCAGGTGTGTCACCTCACAGGTGTGCGCGACCTGCAGCCCCCCCTCGCTGCTGATGTCACAGGTGGACGGGCTCATGTTGTCCAGCATGTTGTAGAGCAGGAAGTCCTCGTCCTCGTCGCTCTGCTTGGACTCTGCGTTCAGGTCCAGCTGAAGCCCCGCCTCCTCAGACCTGTGGTAGGCCAGGGTGGGGGGGCGGTGGCGGAGTAGCAGGTGGCTGCTGATGGAGGCCTTCAGGCCGCAGGTGAACTGACAGAGCTTACAGCGGTACAGCTCCACCAAGAAGGACTCCACTAGACCCCCTGTCAGACCCTCCACCTCTCCGCAGTACAGACTGGAACTGACGGCCCCGCCCACCACCTGCAGCGTCACGGGACTGATGTCACGGTACCGCTGCTTCACCGACGACATCGCCGCCACATCACGCTCACTGCAAACAGTTCATTATCTGCAGTAATCAATAAATAATAACAATATTTATCAATATTATTAAAATATATTGAATATGTGACAATAAACTAAATATATCAACAATTTCTTCCAACAAGATTCTGTAAACTTTAATTTAATTATTCAGGGAAACAATCTCCAACAGAGAATCAGCTCTAACTCAGTGAATTCCAGGTATTTCCAGGTACTTTCAGATATTTCCAGGTACCTCCAGGTGTTTCCAGGTACTTCCAGGTATTTCCAGGTACCTCCAGGTATGTCCAGGTACTTCCAGGTATTTCCAGGTACTTCCAGGTATGTTCAGGTACCTCCAGGTATGTCCAGGTACCTCCAGGTGTTTCCAGGTACTTCCAGGTATTTCCAGGTACCTCCAGGTATGTCCAGGTACCTCCAGGTGTTTCCAGGTACTTCCAGGTATTTCCAGGTACCTCCAGGTATGTCCAGGTATTTCCAGGTACTTCCAGGTATTTCCAGGTACCTCCAGGTATGTTCAGGTACCTCCAGGTGTTTCCAGGTACTTCCAGGTATTTCCAGGTACCTCCAGGTATGTCCAGGTACTTCCAGGTATGTCCAGGTACCTCCAGGTATGTCCAGGTACTTCCAGGTATGTCCAGGTACCTCCAGGTATGTCCAGGTACCTCCAGGTGTTTCCAGGTACCTCCAGGTTCGTCCAGGTATTTCCAGGTACCCCCAGGTACTTCCAGGTACGTCCAGGTATTTCCAGGTACCTCCAGGTACCTCCAGGTTCGTCCAGGTACCTCTAGGTGTTTCCAGGTACGTCCAGGTACCCCAGGTACTTCCAGGTATTTCCAGGTATGTCCAGGTACCTCCAGGTTCGTCCAGGTACCCCAGGTATTTCCAGGTATTTCCAGGTATTTCCAGGCAACCCAATTATTTCTCTCTCTCTTTATTTTACTGGATTATTCTGTAATATTGTTTTTATTGAATAATAACAAGAACTAAATTAATATTTATTACTAATAATAATAATAATAATTAGTATAGAAAGGTTCATGTTCATTCATCCACTAATAACCAATCAATAATCAATCAATAGTTCCACAACGTCACAAACACGTCATTACATTAGCATCGCAGAAGCTAACAGTTCCTGATTAAACATTTATTAATTAGAAATGATTCAAGCTAACAGGGCTAACATCAGCGTGCTAGCAGTGAGCTAACAAAGCTAACAAAGTTAACTGTTAGCTCCTGTTAGCTCCTGTTAACTGTTAGCTCCTGTTAGCTCCTGTTAACTGTTAGCTCCTGTTAACTGTTAGCTCCTGTTGACTGTTAGCTCCTGTTAAGTTAGCTCCTGTTACCTGTTGACTGTTAGCTCCTGTTGACTGTTAGCTCCTGTTGACTGTTAGCTCCTGTTAACTGTTAGCTCCTGTTAACTCCTGTTAACTGTTAGCTCCTGTTAACTGTTAGCTCCTGTTAGCTCCTGTTGACTTTAGCTCCTGTTAACTGTTAGCTCCTGTTAGCTCCTGTTAACTGTTAGCTCCTGTTAACTGTTAGCTCCTGTTAGCTCCTGTTGACTGTTAGCTCCTGTTAACTGTTAGCTCCTGTTAGCTCCTGTTGACTGTTAGCTCCTGTTAGCTCCTGTTGACTGTTAGCTCCTGTTAGCTCCTGTTGACTGTTAGCTCCTGTTAACTGTTAGCTCCTGTTAACTGTTAGCTCCTGTTGACTGTTAGCTCCTGTTGACTGTTAGCTCCTGTTGACTGTTAGCTCCTGTTAACTGTTAGCTCCTGTTAACTGTTAGCTCCTGTTAGCTCCTGTTGACTGTTAGCTCCTGTTGACTGTTAGCTCCTGTTGACTGTTAGCTCCTGTTGACTGTTAGCTCCTGTTAACTGTTAGCTCCTGTTAGCTCCTGTTGACTGTTAGCTCCTGTTAGCTCCTGTTGACTGTTAGCTCCTGTTAACTGTTAGCTCCTGTTGACTGTTAGCTCCTGTTAGCTCCTGTTGACTGTTAGCTCCTGTTGTAGCTCCTGTTGACTGTTAGCTCCTGTTAGCTCCTGTTGACTGTTAGCTCCTGTTGACTGTTAGCTCCTGTTAACTGTTAGCTCCTGTTAGCTCCTGTTGACTGTTAGCTCCTGTTGACTGTTAGCTCCTGTTAACTGTTAGCTCCTGTTAGCTCCTGTTGACTGTTAGCTCCTGTTAGCTCCTGTTGACTGTTAGCTCCTGTTAACTGTTAGCTCCTGTTGACTGTTAGCTCCTGTTAGCTCCTGTTGACTGTTAGCTCCTGTTAGCTCCTGTTGACTGTTAGCTCCTGTTGACTGTTAGCTCCTGTTAGCTCCTGTTGACTGTTAGCTCCTGTTAGCTCCTGTTGACTGTTAGCTCCTGTTGACTGTTAGCTCCTGTTAGCTCCTGTTGACTGTTAGCTCCTGTTAGCTCCTGTTAACTGTTAGCTCCTGTTAGCTCCTGTTGACTGTTAGCTCCTGTTGACTGTTAGCTCCTGTTAACTGTTAGCTCCTGTTAGCTCCTGTTAACTGTTAGCTCCTGTTAACTGTTAGCTCCTGTTGACTGTTAGCTCCTGTTAGCTCCTGTTGCTGCTCCTGTTGACTGTTAGCTCCTGTTAGCTCCTGTTGACTGTTAGCTCCTGTTAACTGTTAGCTCCTGTTAGCCCTGTTGCCTGTTGACTGTTAGCTCCTGTTAGCCCTGTTGACTGTTAGCTCCTGTTAGCTCCTGTTGACTGTTAGCTCCTGTTAGCTCCTGTTGACTGTTAGCTACTGTTGACTGTTAGCTCCTGTTAGCTCCTGTTGACTGTTAGCTCCTGTTGACTGTTAGCTCCTGTTAGCTCCTGTTGACTGTTAGCTCCTGTTGACTGTTAGCTCCTGTTAGCTCCTGTTGACTGTTAGCTCCTGTTAGCTCCTGTTGACTCTTAGCTCCTGTTGACTGTTAGCTCCTGTTAGCTCCTGTTGACTGTTAGCTCCTGTTCTGTTAACTTACCCTGTTACTGTTTAGCTCCTGTTAGCTCCTGTTGACTGTTAGCTCCTGTTAGCCCTGTTGACTGTTAGCTCCTGTTGACTGTTAGCTCCTGTTAGCTCCTGTTGACTGTTAGCTCCTGTTAGCTCCTGTTGACTGTTAGCTCCTGTTGACTGTTAGCTCCTGTTGACTGTTAGCTCCTGTTGACTGTTAGCTCCTGTTAAGCTCCTGTTGACTGTTAGCTCCTTTAGCCCTGTTGACTGTTAGCTCCTGTTAGCCCTGTTGACTGTTAGCTCCTGTTAGCTCCTGTTGACTGTTAGCTCCTGTTGACTGTTAGCTCCTGTTGACTGTTAGCTCCTGTTGACTGTTAGCTCCTGTTAACTGTTAGCTCTGTTAGCTCCTGTTGACTGTTAGCTCCTGTTAGCTCCTGTTGACTGTTAGCTCCTGTTGACTGTTAGCTCCTGTTAGCTCCTGTTGACTGTTAGCTCCTGTTAGCTCCTGTTGACTCTTAGCTCCTGTTGACTGTTAGCTCCTGTTAGCTCCTGTTGACTGTTAGCTCCTGTTAACTGTTAGCTCCTGTTGACTGTTAGCTCCTGTTAGCTCCTGTTGACTGTTAGCTCCTGTTAGCTCCTGTTGACTGTTAGCTCCCTGTTAGCTCCTGTTGACTGTTAGCTCCTGTTAGCTCCTGTTAGCCCTGTTAGCTCCTGTTGACTGTTAGCTCCTGTTGACTGTTAGCTCCTGTTAGCTCCTGTTGACTGTTAGCTCCTGTTACTGTTAGCTCCTGTTGACTGTTAGCTCCTGTTAGCTCCTGTTGACTGTTAGCTCCTTTGACTGTTAGCCCTTAGCTCCTGTTGACTGTTAGCTCCTGTTGACTGTTAGCCCCTGTTAGCTCCTGTTGACTGTTAGCTCCTGTTGACTCTTAGCTCCTGTTGACTGTTAGCTCCTGTTAGCTCCTGTTGACTGTTAGCTCCTGTTGACTGTTAGCTCCTGTTGACTGTTAGCTCCTGTTAGCTCCTGTTGACTGTTAGCTCCTGTTGACTGTTAGCTCCTGTTGACTGTTAGCTCCTGTTAACTGTTAGCTCCTGTTAGCTCCTGTTGACTGTTAGCTCCTGTTAGCTCCTGTTGACTGTTAGCTCCTGTTGACTGTTAGCTCCTGTTAGCCCTGTTGACTGTTAGCTCCTGTTGACTGTTAGCTCCTGTTAGCCCTGTTGACTGTTAGCTCCTGTTGACTGTTAGCTCCTGTTAGCTCCTGTTGACTGTTAGCTCCTGTTAACTGTTAGCTCCTGTTGACTGTTAGCTCCTGTTAGCTCCTGTTGACTCTAGCTCCGTTACTTAGCCCTGTTAGCTCCTGTTGACTGTTAGCTCCTGTTAACTGTTAGCTCCTGTTGACTGTTAGCTCCTGTTAGCTCCTGTTGACTGTTAGCTCCTGTTGACTGTTAGCTCCTGTTGACCGTTAGCTCCTGTTGACTGTTAGCTCCTGTTGACTGTTAGCTCCTGTTAGCTCCTGTTTAGCTCCTGTTGACTGTTAGCTCCTGTTAGCTCCTGTTGACTGTTAGCTCCTGTTAGCTCCTGTTGACTCTTAGCTCCTGTTGACTGTTAGCTCCTGTTAGCTCCTGTTGACTGTTAGCTCCTGTTAACTGTTAGCTCCTGTTGACTGTTAGCTCCTGTTAGCTCCTGTTGACTGTTAGCTCCTGTTAGCTCCTGTTGACTGTTAGCTCCTGTTAGCTCCTGTTGACTGTTAGCTCCTGTTAACTGTTAGCTCCTGTTAGCTCCTGTTGACTGTTAGCTCCTGTTGACTGTTAGCTCCTGTTAGCTCCTGTTGACTGTTAGCTCCTGTTAGCTCCTGTTGACTGTTAGCTCCTGTTAGCTCCTGTTAGCTCCTGTTAGCTCCCGTTGTTAGCGCTGAGCCGTTAGCATTGAGCTAACGGTTTCAGATGTTTGAAGATCAGAAAGAACAGAAACACTGAACTCACCTGCAGTTTATATATTATGGTCTGTCTCTGTAGATTCATATAGAATAGATCAATATAGAATAGATCAATATAGAATAGATCGATATAGAATAGATCGATATAGAATAGATCGATACATTAATATATTAATATATAAATATATAAATCTACTGTTTCTGTGTCCGCTGCTGTTGTTTACTTCCGCTTTTCTTCTTCTACGGTCACTACGTCACCCCGGCGCTTCTACCGCCACCCGGAGGAGAAGAAGAAGAAGGTGTTTAAATGTTCAATGAAGCTTCTGAAAGTATTGATTATTATTGATTATTGATTTATTGTGCTAAAAGGTTAAATAATATATTAATAATAAGGTTGATGTAAATAAAACAATTAATGAATTCATTGATTAATTATGATTGTGTTTTCATTATGACGCAATGTAAAGTTTTAAATAAAGTTTTTAAACAACAACAATAATAATTAATAATAATTATATATAATATTAGTTCAGGTCTATTGTGGATCTGGAATGTTCTTTATTGTCTCGTGTGGACCAGAACCAGAACAGACCCAGAGATGCTGCAAATATTAACTTTAAGTACTTTAAATACATAAAACTTTACTAAAGTAAGTTTAAAGTAAGTTTTAAATGCAGTACTTTTACTGGAGTACAGCGAGTACTTCAACTTCCTGTTTTAAATGTGTGAAATTGTTAGGTTATCTTTGGTTTTTCAAAGTAAAATTCTGATATTGACAGAAACAGAAGAAGATTATAATATTTTACTGATTTAATTAATGAGTAAATAATAAAAGTGAACAAATGAAATGAAAGGAAGCCGATGATTCAGGGACAGAAACCTGCAGCAGTGTCTCAGTGATGGAACCAGTTTTAAGGAGCTTCATGCTAATTGTTTACTGGTTAACTGGGAGACATTTGACTTTACGAGCTGACAAGGAGACGTCACATGTGGACAGGTCCTGTTGTCTGAAACTGAAACTGTTAAAGTGTGCGACATCTGGTAATGCCCTGTAATTTAAACAGAGTTTGGTGGGAGGAGAGTTGTGCTTGGGGATGTTTACAGTTCTGTTTTTAAGGCCTTTTTCAAAGTGTCTCATACATGTTTTTATGCAGTAAACTGACAGATGCTCATATGTTGCAATATCTATAATAACAATAAAAAATAATATAAAACCCCGCCCCTCAGAACTTAATCACTACCAGCCAGTTGCATTCACTTCCATTGTCATGAAATGTCTCGAAAAACTGATACTTAACATCATCCACCCGTTTGTTGAACCACATCTGGACCCGTATCAGTTTGCCTACAAGACCAAAAGGGGGACTGAGGATTCTGTGGCATGCCTCCTTCACTCCCTCCTACAGCACCTAGAATCACCCAGCAACTCCCCCACAATCCTCTTCATTGATTTCAGTTCTGCTTTTAACACCATCCAGCGTAATCAGATGATCAGGAAACTCCACCACCTCAGCATCCCTCCACTCCTCATTCAAAGAGTTCGGTCTAGACCTGCTCTATTTGAAAAGTGTCCTGAGATAACTTCTGTTATGAATTGGCGCTATACAAATAAAATTGAATTGAATTGAATTGAATTCACTGGGTCCACAGTTTCCTCAGCGACAGACCACAGACAGTCAGAGTGGGCACTACTACATCCTCCACCATCATCACCGACACAGGAGCCCCACAAGGTTGTGTCCTGAGCCCGTTTCTGTTCACCCTGTACACCAATGACTGCACCAGCCCCTCACCTGTCACCACATATATTAAATACTCTGATGACACCGCCATACTTGCACTCCTCAACGACAATAATTCTGTTTTAAGCTACCAGGACTCCATCTCCCACTTCACATCATCTAGAACTCAATGTTAAGAAAACAAAAGAACTGATCATCAACACTTCCAGCATCCACAGCTCAGCACACAACCTCATCCATTACCCCATAATGATCAACACTGAATCCGTGGAGATTGTGGAGTCCATCAAATACCTCAGAATAACCCTGGACAATAAACTGAACTTCGATCACAACAGTGACATCCACAAACACTACCAACAAAGACTCTCTGCCGTCCGCAAACTCAATGCCTTTCTCTTTCCCCCCAAACTTTTGTCTGTTATTACTCTATAAAAGTATAGTCCAACCCGTCATCCTCTACTGTTTAACCTGCTTCTACAACATGTTAACTGCCTCAAATAGAAACACACTGACACGCATTAAACACCACGCCTCCAAAATCATTGGTCTCCCCACCCCCAACCTCTCAGACCTCAACAATACAGCCATTACACGCAGAGCACTCAGTATAGCACATGACCCCAGCCACCCCTTCAACTCATTATTCGTACTGCTGCCATCTCGACGCAGATACAGGACTCTGGCCTGTAAACGTGCTCACTATTGCAGGAGCTTCGTACCTTCTGCCATAGCGTCTCTAAACAAGGCATCCCGGTAACCGCTGTGGGTGGGTGCTACGCACAGGACAGGGAGGGTTCGTTGTGCTAAATGTGCTGTATTAAGTGTTTATTCTTGTTGTTATGTCGCGGTGTCCATATGTGTTTTTCTCTTTTTTCGTATCTATGTATGTATGTACAGACTGCGGTAACAAATTTCCTGTGAAGAACAATAAAGTATATTATTATTAATATTATTATTATCTGTTAAATGCTCAGGACTTTGAAGAAAGTTTGGTCAGTGGAGTTGTGCAACCTTCTGTGTTTTGAAGATTTTTCACATTTCTCTCTTGAGGACCCGCCTGATTTCTTACCTGCAGGCAGTGTTCAGGTGTGGTGGCTGTTCAGCCAGTCAGAGCCCACCAGCTGGACCTGTGAGTCAGGTCCTGTGGGGCCCTCAGGGGCTGCTGTAGACGGTGGGAGGCAGGCCTTGTATCTGTACTTGTACTATTAGATCTTAGTGCTGCATTTGACACCATTGACCATAATATTCTTTTACAGAGACTTGAGCATCAAATTGGCATTAAAGGAACCGCACTAAGCTGGTTTAAGTCATATTCATCAGATCGCTCGCAGTTTGTACATGTTAACGATGAATCTTCAATAAATACTACAGTTAGTCATGGAGTTCCACAAGGTTCTGTACTTGGACCAATACTATTTACTTTATATATGCTCCCTTTAGGCAACATTATTAGGAATCACTCCATTAACTTTCATTGTTATGCAGATGATATGGAGTTATATCTATTGATCAAGCCCGATGAAATTAATCAATTATCTAAATTACAAACATGTCTTAAGGACATAAAATCCCAGATGAGCTGCAATTTTCTGATGTTAAACTCAGAAAAAAACGAAATTCTTGTTCTTGGCCCCAAAAACCTTAGAGACTCATTGTCTAAAGATATAGTCACTCTAGATGGCATTAACTTGGCCTCTAGCACCACTGTCAGGAATCTTGGAGTTATCTTTGATCAGGATTTGTCATTTAACTCCCACATAAAGCAGACCTCTAGGACTGCCTTCTTTCATTTACGTAATATTAGAAAAATTAGACACATACTATCACAGACAGATGCAGAAAAACTAATCCATGCATTTATTACTTCTAGGCTGGATTACTGCAACTCTTTATTATCAGGTTGCCCCAATAAGTCCATTAAAACGCTCCAATTAATTCAGAACGCTGCAGCACGAGTACTGACAGGAACTAGAAAAAGAGATCACATCTCTCCTGTACTAGCTACTCTGCACCGGCTCCCTGTAAAATGTAGAATAGAATTTAAAATCCTCCTCCTCACCTACAAAGTTCTTCATGGTCAGGCCCCTTCATATCTTAAAGAGCTCATAGTACCCTATTACCCCACTAGAACACTACGTTCTCTGAATGCTGGGCTACTTGTGGTTCCTATAGTCTCTAAAAGTAGAACAGGAGCCAGAGCCTTCAGTTACCAAGCTCCTCTCCTGTGGAACCAGCTTCCAGTTGTGGTTCTGGAGGCAGACACCCTCACCACATTCAAGAGTAGGCTTAAGACATTCCTCTTTGATAAAGCTTATAGTAAGGGCTGGATCAGGTGAGTCCTGAACCATCCCTTAGTTATGCTGCTATAGGCCTAGACTATCGGGGGATTTCCCATGGTGCACTGAGCTCCTCTCTTCCTCTCTCTCTCTGCACTCATTCATGTCCCATTAATGCATGTTACTAACTTCACTTCTTCCCCGGAGTTCTTGTGCTTCCTTGTCTCGCAGGTTTTTGTCGATCCTGGTGGAGCCTCCTGCCATGGTCCTGCTAGATTGCCATTGCCAATACTGTTGTTGCTGTGCACCTGTCTGTCTGTCTCTCTCTCTCTCTCACCCCAACTGGTCGAGACAGACGACCACCCACCTAGAGCCGAAGGATCTGTCCTAGGTTTCTGCCTTTTAACAGGCAGTTTTTCCTTGCCCTTGTCTCCAAGGTCTTGCTCATGGTGGTACTGTTGGGCCTCTGTAATTAATGTTATAAAGAGTTCGGTCTAGACCTGCTCTATTTGAAAAGTGTCCTGAGATAACTTCTGTTATGAATTGGCATATACAAATAAAATTGAATTGGATTGAATTGAATTGAATTAACAACCCCCCCCCCAGCTGCTTGTTAACACATCCAACAAAAAACCTGCAGACATTCACAGGTTAAAGAGGAATTCAACCACAGGAAATTTGTTTTTTAATTTGAAAATCTAAAACTTTAAAAGAATCTTAATTTGAAAATCCCTCCATAAAGAACAACATACTGAACATTTCAGATGTAATAGATTACATTCTCTGATTACACTGTAACACAGCCATATTAGGTGCTATCTCTTAAATTCTCAGTAAAGTGTACAGAGTTGGGTGCAGGATCAGGACAATGATTTAAATTCAGATTTTAGATGCATCCTCAGCTCTTTTTTAAAGTTTTTATGCTGCCAACAAACATCAGGAACTGAACTGAAACTGTTAAAGTGTGCGACATCTGGTAATGCCCTGTAATTTAAACAGTTTGGTGGGAGGAGAGTTGTGCTTGGGGATGTTTACAGTTCTGTTTTTAAGGCCTTTGAGACACTTTAAAGTCTCATACATGTTTTTATACAGTAAACTGACAGATGCTGATATGTTGCAATATCTGTTAAATGCTCAGGACTTTGAACAGAGTTTGGTCAGTGGAGTTGTGCAACCTTCTGTGTTTTGAAGATTTTTCAAATTTCTCTCTTGAGGACCTGCCTGAATTCTTACCTGCAGGCATTGTTCAGGTGTTGTGGCTGCTCAGCCAGTCAGAGCCCACCAGCTGGACCTGTGAGTCAGGTCCTGTGGGGCCCTCAGGGGCTGCTGTAGACGGCGGGAGGCAGGCTGTGATTGGTTGCTTGCTGTGTATAAAAGTGGTGGAGGTGAAGTCCTCGTTCTCACTTTTCCTCCTGAAGGTCTGAAGATACCACAAACACAGTAAGATACCCTTTAATTAGGGACAGAGCCAGCGACCGGCAAGGTCCCTATTGTATTTGCTATGTTTCTTATTATTTTTAGCGCCTTTGATTGCGATTTTGCCCCCTGAACATATACGAAAAGTCAATTTTATTTGGCAAAGTGGTCAGGCCTGGTGAAAAATTTGATATTCTCTGTGTCGCTTTCGGGTTGGCCACTAGGTGGCGCTACTATCATAAAAAATGCATTTAGGCTAATAACTTCTGCATAGTTTGTCGCACATTCAAAAACCTTGTATCCACGCGTTCGGTGAATAGAGCTGAATCTTACAATGTAAGCCCCGCCCACTTTCGCCTAGAATTGTTTTTTTCTAGAGCACGAAATGTCCGTAAATTACTTTTTTGTGTTCCTGCCATGCGCTTTGTCCGTTTCGCACAAATTTTTCATATGGCATCTGAGGACCCTCATAAAAAAAAGTAATTCAAAGAATTTTGATATTTCAAAAAAACAGCACGTTATAAAATTAGCACTTCCTGTGGATATTTCGTCAAAAAAGGAAGTGGACCATTTCTCCACATTGGTATGTCCAATTGACACCAAACTTGGGTGCATAGTTCCACATGTCTTCCTTAAGCATCGTGCACAATTTCAGGCCATCACCACTAGGTGGCGCTCTTTAAAATGAAGAAGTTTATATCTCCACAACGGTACGTGTGATCAAGATCAAACTTGGTACGATGCTTCCCCATGGCTCCCTGAGGCTCACTTAAAAAGGACAAAAAAATACGCCACTAGGTGGCGCTTTTTTGGCATGAAAAATCACTGTGCGGAGACCATAATAGTTATGAATATGAAATTCACAGGGTACGTGTAGAGTAGTGCCTGAAGCTCACATACCAAAAATTGTGTTTGCCGTGTGTGTAGCGCCCCCTACAGGATAAAAAAACAGCAGCCCCGGCGCCACCTTTCACCGATATGTACGAAACTCAGTAGACACGTGTAACATGCCGGGACGTACAAAAAAGCCTCTTGGACCCATACCCGAAACCCCACAGGAAGTCGGCCATTTTTATTTAAATTTTCACTTTGGGCAAACTTCTCGCGTTGTATTTGAACAAACTCCTCCTAGGGAATTTATCAGATCTGCTTCAAAATTGGTCAGTACAGTAAAAAAATGGTGCTAATTAAAAGTTGTGCTATTTGTGCTTGTACGTTGAAGGGCGTGTCCGTGGCGTGCCGTCAAAGTTGCCACTTTGAATTCTGTGGTGACACAAAGTGATTGAAAAGTTGAGCTATTTGTGACTGTACATCAAACCGCGTGCCAGTGGCAACTTGTCGATTTCAGCAGATTCGCCATAAAATAGAACTCATAACTTCAGTGTGCAATCTCCAATAAACTTCATATATTCTGAAACAGTTTTGCCCTGAACACGTCCTCATAACTTCAGCGTACATGGTCCAATCTCAATGAAACTTCACGTGTTTGATAACACTCTCGCCTTGAACACATGTACAATATTCAGACATAGTGATAGCGCCACCTACTGGCAACAAGAAGTAAGCGCTGCGTGGCAATTTTGAGCTGAGTTACATGAAATGACCGTGCCGGTGACGACTTGTCGAATTCAGTCGATTCGCCATAAAACAGCACTCATAACTTCAGTGTGCAATGTCCAATCTCCAATAAACTTCATATATTCTGTAACAGTCTCGCCCTGAACACGTCCTCATAACTTCAGCGTACGTGGTCCAATCTCAATGAAACTTCACGTGTGTTATAACAGTCCCGCCCTGAACTTTTCTACATGACAATATTAAGACATAGTGATAGCGCCACCTACTGGCAACAGGAAGACCTGAAACTGTTGTAACCTGATTGGTTGATTCCAGACTATTTATTTGCTTATTTTCTATATTCTGTTAAGTTATGGGTAAAGAAAAGATTCACCTGAACATCGTGGTCATCGGCCATGTGGATTCTGGGAAATCGACCACGACGGGTCACCTGATCTACAAACTGGGAGGAATCGACAAGAGGACGCTGGAGAAGTACGAGAAGGAGGCGCAGGAGGTCAGTACAACTACTACTGCAGTACTACAGTACTACGTTTAGTAGTACATGCGAACAGTTAATCTTGGTTGATATTCAGTATTGCTAGGCTACATGCTAAGAGCAATACTGCACTACTACTACTACTACTACTGCAGTACAGTGCATACCATGGTTTCAAGTGAACTGGTTGTGGTAGTACTACAGTAATTTGCAGTAATACTGCTGTACAGTTCAGTGCTTGTACCCCATCAGGCGTCTGACTGGCTGACATGTTGCTATGATTACAGATGGGGAAGGGCTCTTTTAAATATGCCTGGGTGATGGACAAGCTGAAGTCGGAGCGCGAGCGCGGCATCACCATCGACATCGCCCTCTGGAAGTTTGAGACCGATAAATTTTTCATCACCATTATCGACGCGCCAGGACACCGTGACTTCATCAAGAACATGATCACTGGAACCTCGCAGGTCCCCCCCCTCTAATGACACAGCACTATAACCCAATTTATATTCACTAATGCTAGGCTACATGCTTACAGTTTATCTTAGTTTATATTCAGTGATGCTAGGCTATATACTAACATTTTATCATAGATCATATTCAGTGATGCTAGGCTATATGCTAATATTTTATCATCAATCATACCCCTATTCTGTGATGCTAGACTATGATGATGCTTTGAATTTAATCTATTCTGATGCCAGATGTTTAAGTTGCTGATGTCACTGATGATGTCACTGCAGGCTGACTGTGCTGTGCTGATCGTGGCAGCGGGGACTGGAGAGTTTGAGGCAGGAATCTCTAAAAATGGTCAGACACGTGAACATGCTCTGCTAGCATTCACGCTAGGCGTGAAACAGATGATTGTAGGTGTCAACAAGATGGACACCACTGAGCCTCCATACAGTGAGGCTCGCTTCAACGAAGTGCAGAAGGAGATCGGCACTTATCTCAAGAAGGTTGGATACAACCCGAAGGCTGTGGCCTACGTCCCAATCAGCGGCTGGCATGGAGACAACATGATCGAGCCGACAGAGAAAGTAAGGAACATCACGAATCAATTATTTCTTAATTAACCCTTAATAACCCCTTCATCTAAAGGGACGTACAGTGACTCTGCATTAGGCGTACAGTGGCTCTACAGTAGACATACAGTGGCTCTGCAGTAGACGTACAGTGGCTCTACAGGAAACGTACAGTGGCTCTGCAGTAGACATACAGTGGCTCTGCAGTAGATGTACAGTGGCTCTGCGGTAGACGTACAGTGGCTCTGCAGTAGACGCACAGTGACTCTACAGTAAACGTACAGTGGCTCTGCGGTAGACGTACAGTGGCTCTGCAGTAGACGTACAGTGGCTCTGCAGTAGGCGTACAGTGGCTCTGCAGTAGACGTAGTGACTCTACAGTAAACGTACAGTGGCTCTGCAGTAGACGTACAGTGACTCTACAGTAAACGTACAGTGGCTCTGCAGTAGACGTACAGTGGCTCTGCAGTAGACGTAGTGACTCTACAGTAAACGTACAGTGGCTCTGCAGTAGACGCACAGTGACTCTACAGTAAACGTACAGTGGCTCTGCAGTAGACATACAGTGGCTCTGCAGTAGACGTACGTACAGTGGCTCTACAGGAAACGTACAGTGGCTCTGCAGTAGACATACAGTGGCTCTGCAGTAGATGTACAGTGGCTCTGCGGTAGACGTACAGTGGCTCTGCAGTGGACGCACAGTGACTCTACAGTAAACGTACAGTGGCTCTGCAGTAGACGTACAGTGGCTCTGCAGTAGACGTACAGTGGCTCTGCAGTAGACGTAGTGACTCTACAGTAAACGTACAGTGGCTCTGCAGTAGACGTACAGTGGCTCTGCAGTAGACGTAGTGACTCTACAGTAAACGTACAGTGGCTCTGCAGTAGACGCACAGTGACTCTACAGTAAACGTACAGTGGCTCTGCAGTAGACATACAGTGGCTCTGCAGTAGATGTACAGTGGCTCTACAGGAAACGTAGTGGCTCTACAGTAAACGTACAGTGGCTCTACAGTAGACATACGGTGACTCTGCCCTGTATTTGAGAAAGGACTTTCACCACCAAGTCGCTAAAGATATACTTATTTCTCTCAATGTCAATGGAACATGCTATTGCCAAGTGGGTGCAGTATCACCCCCGGATATTTGCATGGACACTTGGGCGGCTGTGGTGCAGAGGCAGAGCGGGTCGTCCCCTAATCAGAAGGTTGTTGGTTCAATCCCCGGCTCCTGGTGCCACATGTCGAAGTATCCTTGAGCAAGATACTGAACCCCGAATTGCTTCTGATGCTATGCATCGGTGTGTGAATGTGTATGAATGCATTAGTTTGTGTTCAATGGACTTTGCCATTGCTGAATGAAGTGGCATGTAGTGTAAAAGCACTTTGAGTGGTTGGAAGACTAGTAAGGTGCTATAAAATGTGGTGGCAATTTGTTTAATACAGTATGATTTTGACTTTCTGTAAGGTTTTATTCAAGTCATCCATGAATGGTCTCAATGCAAACAGTGTTGCTGTGCGTGCAATACAATGTAAAGTTTTCGAGCTGGTTTGCTAAATAGGCTAATGTAGCTAACAATAACACTAGCCTGCCACTGCCCCTGGTGGCCCCTGGTGGATTTTTGTTACGGCAGTGGTTCCAAATCTGGGGGTTGGGACCCCCATTAGGGGGGTCACCAAAGTTTCACAGGGAGTCACAAGGCTTTCTTGATTTGAGGATGTAAGAAAACTTAAAAAATATACACAGTCCGTCTATATCTCAGCATTTGGTACTTCTGTGAAGACAAGTCAATTGTTCAGTCTTATAGAACAATGGCCAAGCTCCAGGGAAATAAAACACTGAATTTGTCAAGTAAGAATCTTTAAATATATATCATTGTTAAATATGATCAAAAATATATAACACCGAAATGTGTAAAAAGTTCCCTAAACAGGAAATAATCTGCTCAAGTTTTACATAAACGTCCTGTAGTTAGTGAGTAATATGAAATATGTCACTGATTGAGTTTACTAAATGATTGAAAGTGTGTTTGAATACTTGTTTGTTTTGGGTATTTTTTAGGGTATTGGTTGGAGTATTGGTTTGGATATTTGTGTGTTTGATGGATTCTTTGGTTGCAGCCTGTGAATGGTGTGTTTAGACTGGCAGCCAGGGTGTGGTTTTGCTGTGTGTGTATGTACTGTGTATCCTGTGTTATTCAATTAAATTTTCAATTAAATTTTATTTGTATAGCGCCAATTCATAACAGAAGTTATCTCAGGACACTTTCCAAATAGAGCAGGTCTAGACCGAACTCTTTAAAACATTATTTACAGAGACCCAACAGTACCATCATGAGCAAGCACTTGGCGACAAGGGCAAGGAAAAACTGCCTGTTAAAAGGCAGAAACCTAGGACGGATCCTTCGGCTCTAGGTGGGTGGTCGTCTGTCTCGACCAGTTGGGGTGAGAGAGAGAGAGAGACAGAGAGAGAGAGACAGACAGACAGACAGGTGCACAGTAACGACAGTATTGGCAATGGCAATCTAGTAGGACCATGGCAGGAGGCTCCACCAGGATCGATAAGAACCTGCGAGATGAGAAAGCACAAGAACTCCGGGGAAGAAGTGAAGTTAGTAACATGCATTAATGGGACATGAATGAGTGCAGAAAGAGAGAGGAAGAGAGGAGCTCAGTGCACCATGGGAAATCCCCCGATAGTCTAGGCCTATAGCAGCATAACTAAGGGATGGTTCAGGACTCACCTGATCCAGCCCTAACTATAAGCTTTATCAAAGAGGAATGTCTTAAGCCTACTCTTGAATGTGGTGAGGGTGTCTGCCTCCCGAACCACAACTGGAAGCTGGTTCCACAGGAGAGGAGCTTGGTAACTGAAGGCTCTGGCTCCTGTTCTACTTTTAGAGACTATAGGAACCACAAGTAGCCCAGCATTCAGAGAACGTAGTGTTCTAGTGGGGTAATAGGGTACTATGAGCTCTTTAAGATATGAAGGGGCCTGACCATGAAGAGCTTTATAGGTGAGGAGGAGGATTTTAAATTCTATTCTACATTTTACAGGGAGCCTGTGCAGAGAAGCTAGTACAGGAGAGATGTGATCTCTTTACCTAGTTCCTGTCAGTACTCGTGCTGCAGTGTTCTGAATTAATTGGAGCGTTTTAATGGACTTATTGGGGCAACCTGATAATAAAGAGTTGCAGTAATCCAGCCTTGAAGTAACAAATGCATGGATTAGTTTTTCTGCATCTGTCTGTGATAGGATGTGTCTAATTTTTCTAATATTATGTAAATGAAAGAAGGCAGTCCTAGAGGTCTGCTTCATGTGGGAGTTAAAAGACAAATCCTGATCAAAGATAACTCCAAAATTCCTGACAGCGGTGCTAGAGGCCAAGGTAATGCTATCTAGAGTAACTATATCTTTAGACAGTGAGTCTCTAAGGTTTTTGGGGCCAAGTACAAGAATTTCGTTTTTTTTCTGAGTTTAATATCAGAAAATTGCAGCTCATCCAGGATTTTATGTCCTTAAGACATGTTTGTAATTTAGATAATTGATTTCATCGGGCTTGATCGATAGATATAACTGTGTATCATCTGCATAACAGTGAAAGTTAATGGAGTGATTCCTAATAATGTTGCCTAAAGGGAGCATATATAAAGTTAATAGTATTGGTCCAAGTACAGAACCTTGTGGAACTCAATGACTAACTGTAGTATTTATTTCATCGTTAACATATACAAACTGAGAACGATTTGATAAATATGACTTAAACCAGCTTAGTGCGGTTCCTTTAATGCCAATTTGATGCTCAAGTCTCTGTAAAAGAATATCATGGTCAATGGTGTCAAATGCAGCACTAAGATCTAATAATACAAGTACAGAGACAAGTCCATTGTCAGAAGCAGTCAGAAGGTCATTATTAACTTTAACCAGAGCTGTCTCTGTGCTGTGATGAACTCTAAGTCCTGACTGAAAATCCTCAAATAAACTATTGTTATGTAAAAAGTCACACAACTCTTTGGCGACTACTTTCTCCAGAATCTTAGAGAGGAAGGGGAGGTTAGAAATCGGTCTATAGTTGGCTAAAACCCCTGGGTCAAGAGTGGGCTTCTTAAGAAGGGGTTTAATTACAGCTACTTTAAAGGACTGTGGTACATATCCTGATAATAAAGAAAGATTAATCATATCCAGTAAAGAAGTGCCAATTAAGGGAACAACTTCTTTAAGCAGCCTAGTTGGGATCGGGTCTAATAGACAGGTTGATGGCTTCGATGAAGAAATGATTGAAGTTAACTGATGAAGATTGATAGCAGAAAAACAGTCTAAATATATATCTAAGTTTACATTGACAGAAGTCCCTGAACTTGGAGAGCCACTGATAACTGTTGATGGCAGTTGGTGATTAATTTTCTCTCTAATAGTAATAATTTTATTATAAAAGAAGCTCATGAAGTCATTGCTACTTAAGGTTATGGGGATATGTGGCTCAATAGAGCTGTGACTCTCTGTCAGCCTGGCTACAGTGCTGAAGAGGAACCTAGGGTTGTTCTTATTTTCTTCTATTAGTGCTGAGTAATAGGCTCCTCTGGCGTTACGCAGGGCCTTTCTATAGGTTTTAAGATTATCTTTCCAAATTGAGCGATATGCTGATAATTTGGAAGACGATATTTCCTTTCAGATTTCCTAGCTATTTGTTTTAACTGGCGGGTTTGGTGATTGTAGCACTGTCAGATAGACATCTGCTGTAGGAAGTTTTGCCTAATGGCTTATAATCTAATAGTATGAATTCAAAAGTTATTAAATAATGGTCAGATAGGAAAGGATTATGTGGGAAGACTATTAAATGTTCAATATCAATGCCATATGATAGAACAAGGTCAAGAGTGTGATTAAAACAATGAGTTGGTTTATTTACACTCTGACAGAAGCCAATTGAGTCTATTAATGATATAAATGCGTTACTAAGGCTGTCATTGTTAACATCCACATGAATATTAAAATCACTTTCAATAATTACTTTATCTGATTTAAGGACTAAACTTGATAAAAACTCAGAGAATTCAGATATAAAATCAGAGTACGGTCCAGGAGCACGGTACACTATAACAAATAGAACTGGCTGCAGTGTTTTCCAGTTTGGGTGAGAAAGACTAAGAACAAGGCTTTCAAATGAATTATAATTTAGTTTAGGTTTAGGGTCCATTAAAACGCTCAAATCATATATGGCTGCTACTCCACCTCCTCGGCCGGTGCCTCGAGGAATGTGAGTATTAATATGACTGGGGGGGTGGATTCATTTAGGCTAACATACTCCTCGTGGGACAACCAGGTCTCAGTAAGACAAAGTAAATCAATATCATAATCTGATATTAATTCATTCACTAAAACAGCTTTAGAGGACAGAGACCTGATATTTAACAGCCCACATTTCATTCTCTTATTTTGTGCTACTGAGGAGTTGGTTTTAATTTTTATTAGATTTTTATGTTGAACTCCTCTTGTTTTTATTTCTTTAAATAATTGAGGTGGTCGGGGGACAGACACAGTCTCTATGGGGTTTTGGGTGGGTGACTGTTCTAAAGAAAGCACAGAGAAGTGTGTAAGACAGCAGCTCTGCTTCCTGGTCCTAACTCTGGACTGTCAGGTTTTAGAAATAAACTTCGCCATATTTCTAGATAAGAGAGCCGCTCCATCCAAAGTGGGATGGATGCCGTCTCTCCTAATCAGACCAGCTGTTCCCCAAAAAGGCTGCCAATTATATATGAAGCCCACATCGTTTTCTGGACACCACCTCGACAGCCAGCGGTGGAATGACGACATGCGGCTATACATGTCATCACTGGTCACATTGGGGCGGGTCCAGAGAAAACTACGGAGTCCGTAATTTTAGCATACTTACACACTGACTCCACATTAATCTTAGTGACCTCCGATTGGCGTAAACACATTTAACTATGGCCGCTGGCTTCGCTAACTTCACGTTTCTGACTATGGAGCTGCCAATAACCAGAGTTGGTTCCTCAGCGGGTGTGTCGCTGAGTGGGGAAAATGTATTAGAAACATGAATGGGTTGGTGGTGAACTGTGGGCTTCGGTGGTTTTAGTCTTCCTTTGCTCAGTCACCCAGCCTCCCTGTCTTCCCGGCTGCTCGGGAACTACCGGGGGAACTACCGGGGGAACTACCGGGGGAACTACCGGGGGACGGCTAGCAGAAGCTACCTTCGGTCGGACCGCACCGGCTACTGGGGACTGGCTAACTATAGTGGCTAAAGATATCTCTGTGGTGCGGTGCCGTTCCTCTAACTCACTAAGCCTCGCCTCCAGCGCAGTAAATAAACTACACTTAATACAGGTACCATTATCATTAAAGGAGGCAGAGGAATAACTGAACATCTGACACACTGAGCAGGACAGAGGAGAGGGAGAGGGAGAAGCCAAAGCTAACTGCTAATGTTAATGAAGCTAGCGTGTATGAAAAACTTTGAAAATAGCAAAAAGTCGCTAAAAGAAGGAGTAACTCCGAGTGTTTAGGTAGAACTAGTCTACGTTTAAATGTTAAGCGGGTAAATTACCGCTATAACGAGTAAAACAAATTTAGATATAGCATTCACTGACAGAGCTACAGCACCAAACAGTGTACACAGAGCAGGAAGTAAACCGGAAATGAGTCAGTACGCTTACCGTAGCACGTCACTGATGGAACCTGGAGTGGAGAGTTAGGCTATTAGATGACATGAGATTTACAGTGGGAAGATAAAGCTTATATGTTGTATATATGATATGGTATGGTATTTTTGACTGAATACAGTTTTAAAGGTAAACGTTAAGGAGTTCTGTCATTCCACAGATGCCATGGTATAAAGGATGGAGTATCTCAAGGTCTGATGGGAATTTTCCTGGAAAGACTCTGGTTGATGCTCTGGACAGCATCACCCCTCCTGAACGACCCACAAAGCTTCCTCTAAGGATCCCCCTGCAGGATGTCTACAAGATTGGAGGTAAGTACGGTACAACTCACAGGTACTTGTATGTCTCTACGTGGAGAGGCAGCCCTGTGGTACTAACCCCTGTGGTTTTAGGTATTGGCACGGTGCCGGTAGGTCGGGTAGAGACAGGGATCCTGAAGCCTGGCATGGTGGTGACCTTTGCCCCTCAGCATCTGAGCTCAGAGGTGAAGACGGTGGAGATGCACCACATGTCTATGCCCGAGGCTCTGCCCGGAGACAACATAGGCTTCAATGTCAAAAACCTGTCCATCAAAGAAATTAGACGAGGGAACGTAGCTGGAGACAGTAAGAATTACCCGCCGTATGGAGCTGCCTCCTTCATTGCTCAGGTCAGTACCCGCACAGGGTCGATTCCCCCATTGACATCCAGGTCCATCTGGGTTACTGTCAGGTGTTCTTATTAAATCAGTTATTCTACTGTGAGAGACTCAAAACCATTAGTGGTATTAATAAGAATTTTAGAGGAATTAATAAGTACTGTCATTAGTAGTGTCATTAATAAACTTGTGTCCGTGCGCTCAGGTGATTGTGTTGAACCACCCTGGGGAGATCCACGCTGGTTACTCTCCGGTTACCGACTGTCACACTGCGCACATCGCCTGTAAGTTCTCCGAGCTGCGGCAGAAGATCGACCGGCGCAGCGGAAAGGTCCTAGAGGACAACCCCAAAATGATTAAAAGTGGAGATGCCTCCATTGTCCTCATGGTTCCCTCCAAACCCATGGTGGTGGAGTCCTTCTCCGAGTTCCCGCCACTGGGTAAGTCAACACTTCATGGATTATTATTATCAATGGAATACCTAGAACTCAATCAATGCGCACACAGGATCTAGTATTCCAGATAAACAGTAAAATATGTTTGAACAGATTTGAGGAGAGAAATAGTCAACAACAGAATCTGGATCCATATCTGATCAGTTTTAATACATTTAATAATTGAATTTCCCTCTCTCCGTCTGTCAGGTCGGTTCGCGGTGCGCGACATGAAGCAGACGGTGGCGGTTGGCGTGGTGAAGTCTGTCACAAAGGACGAGTCAAAGCTCACCAAGATGGCAGGAAAGAAGAAGTGATGTCAGTTCCTGTCAACAGCAATAGAAGAAGAAGAAGAAGAAGGGGCTTGTGGGAAATACTATGAACAACAGTCAACATTTATCATCTTATCTGGAGACCAACAGCAAATAAACAAACACATCATAAACATCTTTGAACAAACATCTGTAAACAAACATCACAAACATCTGCAAACATCAGTAAACGATAACTCAAACTAATTTGAAATTTTTCTATTGAACCTATACCTTCAGATATGTTTCCATAGAGATTTTGGCGTCTAGGCTCCGCCCTCAGATAGGTTTCCATAGAGATTTCCTTCTTATGCAGCCTGACATAACGTGGGTAGGCGGAGAATGACCAGCGACACAAGGATTTTAGGGTTGATGTAAGCAGATGGAGAGCTGTGGTTGTAGATATTCTTAGGGAGTTAGGGGAATAGTGTTTGGGGCATAGGCCAAAGCTCAGGCTGAGATCACACAGCTTTGAGGAGAACCAGGATGTCGTCATGAGAGAGAAAAAGATCTCTGTTAGAGATTAAAGATCTTTGTTAGAGATTGCAGCAAGTCTCTCTACCACTGTGGGTTCCCCCAGCACACAACCAAGCTCCACAGATCAATTAATCAACACACATTTATTTATTCCTCAGCCGCACACACCGTCAACACAAACACTCAGCTTTCTGGCTGATCTGAGGCTTCTATAGCTCTTCCAAGGTCCATAACAATCCGCTCCAGGCGTCCTTTCTGATGTATGTGTGGCGGCCAACTCAAGTCCAGCACACAGTTGCATTAAGAGAGGAGAGAGTGATTACTCAATGAGCACCAGCTGAGATCATCAACTCTCCTGCTCTCACAAGCTGTCCCTCCACCTCTGTCTCTCCTGCAGCTGAGTGTTAATCACACCCACCTGCACAGAGATTATCTGTGTTAGATATTAAAGATCTTTGTTCCAGAGAAAGCACCCCAGAATTTCATAGCTGTTCTGATGTCATAGATATGTTGGAACATCATTTATTCTTTATAGTTTCTTTTAGACGAGCAGCTGTCAGTCAATCAATGAACCAATCAATCAATAAAATCTCAGAGTGTGAGGGATGTGTCTGTGTGTTTTCATTTTATTTTTACTGGTCGCTGCAGGAGGACGTGGTAACCGTGGTGACTGAGGTAACTGTGGTAACTGCAGCAACCTGCAAGAAGAAGAGCAGTGTGAACAGGAAATATAAATCAGGTCACATGACCAGCTTGTTTTTTCCTGTTCTGTGTGTGTGTGTGTGTGTGTGTGTGTGTGTGTGTGTGTGTGCGTGCGTGCGGTCACAGCTTGTCATGCAACATTGCACACAGTCTGAACACGCTGGCACGCAATGTGGCTGCTTCCTGTTTCTATGATGTCACACACACAGTGAAACATCCCCTTTTTGTGTTTCTGAGAAAGTTTCTGACTTCAGATGATTCATAATAAATATATTATAATAAATCAATTATTATAAATACATTTTGTTGATCATATGAAGTAAAACTATTTAAACTGATCAAATTAACTTGTTTCAATTATTAGTACAATTTATGATAAGAATATTATATTATTATGATTACAGTTAGTGTGACTGTTGACTCAGTCAGATAACTACTGATTACTACTGTCTATGATCATAGTGATCAATGGAAACTGATCAATCAAATATTAGTTTAATGATCCTCCTCAGGGTCTCTCATGTCTCTGCATTGGTTACAGTCAGACGGGCTGTGGACGGAGGTCAGATGGGCAGTGGGCGGAGGTCAGACGCTTTAAACAGTTCCTGAGAATAAGGGGGACAACTTTACAACTGTTGGTAGACCAGTCTTAGACCAGACACTACAGTAACATTATCCCAGATCACAACAGACCTGGACTGCTCTGGTCCATCTTTGTCCTAGTCCATGTTCTTGTCCTCATCCTGGTCTCAGGCGTTAGAGCGGGTCGTCCACTAATCAGAAGATTGTTGGTTTGATTCCCGGTTCCTTCTGCTGCATGTTGAAGTTTCCTTGAGCAAGGTACTGAACTCCAAACTGCTCCTGATGCTGAACCATCACCTGTAGGTGTTGGAAGACTATCAGGGCTGAAAGTAGACCAACACAACTCAACTCAATAGAACTCAGTAGAAATATCAAAGCACTAAATGAAAGTTATTTTTAGGAACCTTCATTGTTTACGTCAGAAAAAACTGACTTGATGACCTCTGTGAGTTCGGCCACGCTCACCAGAGGAAGTGGTAAGAAGTAAGGGTACTCCTGTGGACAAAAAGCATTAGTGCCGGCACATTTCAGTGTCGGTAGTATGAGCAGTACATTACCTGCAGTACATTACCTGCAGTACATTACATGCAGTACGTCACCTGCAGTACATTACCTGCAGTACGTCACCTGCACTACATTACCTGCACTACATTACCTGCACTACATTACAGCCCTGTAAGGTTGGGTCGTATATTAGACATGTGGTGTGTAATCTTTCCAACAGGAAGTGAACGAAAACAGGAAAGAACACCATGTTCATTGAGTACAACCACAGATACCTCAGTACTTACTCACAGCACCAGTACTACCACTGAACTGTGACATCAGTATGAGAAGCAGGCACACATGGTGGTCTCGTTCTGATACGAGGAACTTGTCAGGGGTAAGCTGATATTAATAGTAAAGGGACTGTAGTGATATAACTGCTTTCTAGTCCTCCAACCACTCATTTACACTACAGCTCACATTCCTAACCCTCACACATCGTTGAAAACTTGTGTGAACAGGTTTAGCAACCATAAACACAACACAACCATAAACGCAACCATAGACACAACCATAGACACAACCTTAAACACAATCATAAACACAACACAACCATAGACACAACCATGTGTGTGGTGCAGTTTAGAGTGTTTGTGACTGATTGCCGTTACTCACGTCTGACGTGCTACGGTAAGCGTACTGACTCATTTCCGGTTAACTTCCTGCTCTGTGTACACTGTTTGGTGCTGTAGCTCTGTCAGTGAACGCTAAATATAAATTAGTTTTACTCGTTACAGCGGTTATTTACCCGCTTAACATTTAAACGTAGACTAGTTCTACCTAAACACTCAGAGTTACTCCTTCTTTTAGCGACTTTTTCACTACTTTCAAAGTTTTTTCATACACTCTAGCTTCATTAACATTAGCAGTTAGCTATGGCTTCTCCCTCTCCTCTGTCCTGCTCAGTGTGTCAGATGTTCAGTTATTCCTCTGCCTCCTTTAATGATAATGGTACCTGTATTAAATGTAGTTTATTTACTGCGCTGGAGGCGAGGCTTAGTGAGTTAGAGGAACGGTACCGCACCACTGAGATATCTTTAGCCGCTATAGTTAGCCAGCCCCCAGTAGCCGGTGTGGTCCGACCGAAGGTAGCTTCTGTTAGCTCTGTAGATCCCCCGGTAGTTCCCGAGCAGCCGGGAAGACAGGGAGGCTGGGTGACTGAGCGAAGGAAGACTAGAACGGCGAAGCCCACAGTTCACCACCAACCCATTCACGTTTCTAATAAATTTTCCCCACTCAGCGATACACCCGCTGAGGAACCAACTCTGGTTATTGGCAGCTCCATAGTCAGAAACGTGAAGTTAGCGAAGCCAGCGGCCATAGTTTAATGTATCCCTGGGGCCAGAGCGGGCGACATTGAATCATATTTAAAACTGCTGGCTAAAGATAAACGTAAATACAGTAAGATTGTTATCCACGTCGGCGGTAATGACACCCGTTTACGCCAATCGGAGGTCACTAAGATTAATGTGGAGTCGGTGTGTAATTATGCTAAGACAATGTCGGACTCCGTAGTTTTCTCTGGACCCCTGCCCAATGTGACCAGTGATGACATGTATAGCCGCATGTCGTCATTCCACCGCTGGCTGTCGAGGTGGTGTCCAGCAAACGATGTGGGCTTCATTGATAACTGGAAGCCTTTTTGGGGAAAACCTGGTCTGATTAGGAGAGACGGCATCCATCCCACTTTGGATGGAGCGGCTCTCTTATCTAGAAATATGGCAAAGTTTATTTCTAAAACCTGACAGTCCAGAGTTAGGACCAGGAAGCAGAGCTGCTGTCTTACACACTTCTCTGCGCTTTCTTTAGAACAGTCACCCACCCAAAACCCCATAGAGACTGTGTCTGTCCCCCGACCACCTAAATTATTTAAAGAAATAAAAACAAGAGGAGTTCAACATAAAAATCTAATAAAAATTAAAACCAACTCCTCAGTAGCACTAAATAAGAGAATGAAATGTGGGCTGTTAAATATCAGGTCTCTGTCCTCTAAAGCTGTTTTAGTGAATGAATTAATATCAGACTATGATATTGATTTACTTTCTCTTACTGAGACCTGGTTGTCTCACGAGGAGTATGTTGGCCTAAATGAATCCACCCCCCCCAGTCATATTAATACTCACATTCCTCGAGGCACTGGCCAAGGAGGTGGAGTGGCAGCCATATATGATTCGAGCGTTTTAATGGACCCTAAACCTAAACTAAATTATAATTTATTTGAAAGCCTTGTTCTTAGTCTTTCTCACCCAAACTGGAAAACACTGCAGCCAGTTCTATTTGTTATAGTGTACCGCGCTCCTGGACCGTGCTCTGATTTTATATCTGAATTCTCAGAGTTTTTATCAAGTTTAGTCCTTAAATCAGATAAAGTAATTATTGTAGGTGATTTTAATATTCATGTGGATGTTGACAATGACAGCCTTAGTAATGCATTTATATCATTAATAGACTCAATTGGCTTCTGTCAGAGTGTAAATAAACCAACTCATTGTTTTAATCACACTCTTGACCTTGTCTTATCATATGGCATTGATATTGAACATTTAATAGTCTTCCCACATAATCCTTTCCTATCTGACCATTATTTATTAACTTTTGAATTCATACTATTAGATTATAAGCCATTAGGCAAAACCTCCTACAGCAGATGTCTATCTGACAGTGCTGTAGCTAAATTTAAGGAGGAGATTCCTTCAGTGTTTAATTCAATGCCATGTCTGAATTTAACAGAGTCCTATAACGACTTTAGTCCCTCTGAAATTGATAATCTTGTCGATAGTGCTACAGGCTCACTACGATCAACATTAGACTCTATTCAATTAAATTATTATTATACAATATCAGGACACCAAAAGGCACGTATAGAACTCTTTAACATTAGACTCTACGCCAGAAATTATTAAAACATAGGAGACTAGCACCGTGGTATAACCACCAAACCCGCCAGTTAAAACAAATAGCTAGGAAATCTGAAAGGAAATGGCGCTCTTCCAAATTATCAGAATATCGCTCAAATTGGCAAGATAATCTTAAAACTTATAGAAAGGCCCTCCGTAATGCCAGAGGAGCCTATTATTCAGCACTAATAGAAGAAAATAAGAACAACCCTAGGTTCCTCTTCAGCACTGTAGCCAGGCTGACAGAGAGTCACAGCTCTATTGAGCCACATATCCCCATAAACTTAAGTAGCAATGACTTCATGAGCTTCTTCTATAATAAAATTATTACTATTAGAGAGAAAATTAATCACCAACTGCCATCAACAGTTATCAGTGGCTCTCCAAGTTCAGGGAGTTCTGTCAATGTAAACTTAGATATTTATTTAGACTGTTTTTCTGCTATCGATCTTCATCAGTTAACTTCAATCATTTCTTCATCGAAGCCATCAACCTGTCTATTAGACCCGATCCCAACTAGGCTGCTTAAAGAAGTTGTTCCCTTAATTGGCACTTCTTTACTGGATATGATTAATCTTTCTTTATTATCAGGATATGTACCACAGTCCTTTAAAGTAGCTGTAATTAAACCCCTTCTTAAAAAGTCTACTCTTGACCCAGGGGTTTTAGCCAACTATAGACCGATTTCTAACCTCCCCTTCCTCTCTAAGATTCTGGAGAAAGTAGTCGCCAAAGAGTTGTGTGACTTTCTACATAACAATAGTTTATTTGAGGATTTTCAGTCAGGATTTAGAGTTCATCATAGCACAGAGACAGCTCTGGTTAAAGTTAATAATGACTTTCTGACTGCTTCTGACAATGGACTTGTCTCTGTA